CTGGAAGGAGAGCTTGATGGAGTGTAAATGTGTATGATAATCTGGAGTAATGAAAAATGTGTGTTATGGTGAGTGTGAAGGATTCTGATAAAATGTGAATGTGTATTAAATTTTTGTTGGTTGAAATTTAAAAAAAAAAGAGAGGAGGGGCAACGCCCATGAGGGTGGTCACTGGAAGAGGGGCAACGCTCGCTAACTAGAAGAGGTGTTATGGAAGAGAGGCGTGACGGTGAGTGGTGAAGCCTCTCCTCACGCCCCATAACACATAGTCTTATCTCTAAACAAACTTCATTTTTCCTATTTACACATTTAAGATGTACACAGTGATAACAAATGGTCATGCTATATGCACGAGGTTCTTGCACATACCAGAAAGTATCAGAAACATATCTCTCACTGCATATAAATTATACTGAGAGTTTGTTATCTTCAACTTATTATTATTATTATTATTATTATTTATTTTTGTTAGAATCATTTCAGTTTAGATCAGATGAACAATTTAGACCAAATTAGAAATAGTTTTAAATATTACTACCTCCGTCCCAAAAAGATTTACACGTTTTGACTAAAGTTAAAATTAATTGAGAGATAATTTTGTGTTGACTTTCCAAAAATACCCTTGATGTGATGGGTAAAAGTAGGATGTGATGTGTATATTATGGGAGTTATATTTGCACTCCATATTTGTTATCTACACTCCACACTTTTACTTTCTTTTATAAGTTGACAATTTTAGCCTTTTAATTAAAAAACCTCATTGGGTGTAGTGCGGCATATACATTTTAGGCGCTCCACTTACCATGCTTCATTTAATTTACTCATGGTTGTGTAACTTCTACTCGTATTTTAAATTATACTCCGTAAATCTTAAGCATACTCACCATCAATAATGTTATAAAATATAAAAATAATATTATAACAATACATTATAAAAATAAAAAAAATAAAAAATATATAATAATATACAAACAAAATGTTAAATTTTCATATATTTGCGAGATTGAATATAAAAGTAATACTCCATTGTTAAAGTTTTGTAAAAAACAGAACATTATAATGTATTGTTATAATATTATTTTTATATTATATTTTATAACATTATTGATGGGATACTATTAATTGCAAAAATATTATTTTAAGCTGCTATATCTGGCATGATTGCATCATTTCAAAAATAATTTAGATACCTAAGGCTTTATGTTTGTAATAAGATAAATAAAATTAGATGTGAGTTGAATTGAAGAAAATTGAAATATATTTAATTTGAAAAAACTAGAATGAATTGGGAAAAATTTAGATTTTGGCATAAACTAAAAATAAAGGAGATGGAAAAAATGAAAGATGCATTAAACAAAATATATTTTTAATTAAATAAGTAGTATAAAAATTTGATAAATAAAAACTAGAATTTAAAATGAACTAAATTATACTCCCTTCGTCCCAAAAAGATTTACACGTTTCAAAAAAATTGCGTCCCACAATCCCTCATTTCAATTAAAAATCCACTTTTATCCCTTACTTTTTCAAACCCTACCTATCACATCATACTTTTTTCCTAATAATCTACACATCACATCCTACTTTTACCTATCACATCAAAGGTATTTTTGGAAAGTCAATACAAAATTATCTCTCTCTTAATTTTAATTTTAGTCAAAATGGGTAACCATTTATGGGACGGAGGGAGTATCATATTTACATTATATGTAAATATACATTTTTTAAAAGTGTATGGTCGACGTTACTACAAAAACCAAAGTAAGACATTAACTTTGGGATGATGGAATATGTTTTTAAAATTTTTTGTTTTTTATTAAAATAATTTACTTCACTTTTTCAAACCTTTTATCTGTTTTTAATATTTTTTTATCTTCTATTAATTCTTTTACAAAATAATGATATTATTTTTATATTCATCCTAAAAAAAATATGAAAAAATAATATTATATTTTTACATTATATATAATAGTATTTTTATAATATTTTTGGGTGTGAGTGTGCCTAGGTATTTACATTGAGAACTTACAATCAAAGGAAAAAGTTACAAAACAATTGAGTGATGTGAGCTAGTGCATCAAGGAGGATTTATTAGTTACTAAGGGCAAAGTTGTCAATTTATACAAAGAAAGTAAAGATGTGGAGTGTAGGTAACATATGTGGAGTGCCAATATCAACTCACATAGATTATTAGGAAAAAGGTATGATGTGATAGGTAGGGTTTGAAAAAGTAAGGGATAAAATTGATTTTTAATTGATATGTGTAGAAGATTGTGGGACGCAATTTTTTTGAAAGGTGTAAATCTTTTTGGACGGAGCGCCCTCGGGTCATCCCATGACATTGGTTCCCAATTTCATGGGAACCAAGGTGTATTTTCATCTATCATTTTATAAAATAATTTCTTATTGTCACATCTTATTTATTATGATTATTTTTTTTATATAATTTTAAAATTCATTATTTTAAAAAAAATCGATACTATATTTAAATAGAATAGCTAAAAAAATTGTACACAGTAATGTGAAACACGGTGGTCGTCGTTCATCATCATCTCATGCACGCCGGCCCGCAGTTCTTTCTCCACCACATTGCCTGTTTCTTCTTCTCATGATGTTTTTCTTTTTTTAGAATTGAACTCCTCACGCGCTCTGTTTTTTCTTCATTTCATTTTTTGTGTACGGTGTTATAAATCATGCCATTGTAAGATGACGTGTAACGGTATTTGTCATTTACTCCCTCCGTTCCAAAATATTCACAACATTTGCTTTTTCAGCAGTCGCGGGAACTTTTGTTTATTTCTACGTTTTCATTGGTTATTTGATAAAATAAAATATTCTTGACACCTCTTATTTTGAAGAACTTTTCATGTAGTATTTTGATATGTAAATTTTATTTTTTATTTCCATACCAATATGTAAATAAAATGAATTGAAAAAACTTGATATTTTATCTCAGGAACACAAGTATGGCAAATATTTAGGGACGGAGGGAGTATTTTTATAAGGGATCCTTTAGCCCATGTTTGGATGGGGTGATTTTAGATTAGAGAGAGAAAAGAGAAGGGAAGAAAACACAATTTCTAATAAAATTTCACTTCGTTTACACAAGAAAATGGGGGAAGGAAAGAAATTTTCAAAGGAGCTAACCTAAAAAATTTTCCCCGCTCAGGTGGCGAGAAAATCCGCCCATTGAAGAGAAAACGCATGAATTGATAGTTTTGCCCTTCATTCCATCATACTCCCTCCGTTTCTTAAAATCCTTCATCTTTAATTTTTTTGTTTTCCTTAAAACACTTTGTTTTTCTATTTAAAAACCACTTTTACCCTTACTTTTCATACCCTTCCTATCATATCATACTTTTTCACTAGTAACTAAACTACCACATCTTACTTTTATCCATCACATCAAAGGCAAAATTGGAAAATCAACTAAAATTATACTTTCCTTATTTTGCCCCAAAGTCAAAACAAGAACCGCTTTAAGAAACGGAGGGAGTATATTTCAAAACTTATTTCTCAACTCCATATTCGAGAGACTTGTTGTCCTATCGGATCTTTTTTTTCAATAATAAAAAGCAAGGGCAAAAATGTCCCCCATTTCTAATCAAATTGGGTTTTACGAAGAGAAATATATCTCCTTTTCAAATTATTTTATTTACAAATCGGTATATCGATAAAAATTAAAATTATATAGTATTAAACAACTACATCAAAAGTTCTGTAAAATAAGAGACGACATGAATATTTTATTTTAACAAATACTTAATGAAATCGTGTAAACGAACAAAAATTATCGACGAGAGAAAAAAATGTAATCGAATTGGAGACGGAGTGAGTATTTCGAGGTATATGGCTTACTCCCTCTCTAAATCTCCTTCCATTCTAAAAATAACTAAATAGCTGCGCTAAATGGTATAAAAATATAATACTCCATTATATTATGAAAATCTTTCAAGTGGTAATATTAATACAAGGACAATGTAAATTCTCCATTTGTCTCAAAATTTTTATCTAGCTAGTTTTAATTTTGCTATCAATCAAGATTGATCTTTAATCTTATAATTAAGTAAAAATTATATGGTATATTAATAACATTAAAAAATATTTTGAAAATATTTTATAAGATAAATCTATAATAAAATTATACGTGTATCAACTTTATTTAATTAGTGTTTGAAATTTATCAGTTTTAACCATAAAAATGTAAAGAGCAATGTACCCCATTTGTCCCTCACCTCCTTCTCCACCACCCATTCTTATTTAATTTTTATTTAATTAATTTTTTTAAAAGTATTTGCCTATTTTTGTGGTGGAGGAGGGGGTGGAGGACAAATAAATTACTCCCTCCGTTCCACAAAACTCTTCCTCTTTCGTTTTTTTTGTTTTCCACAAAACACTTCCACTTTCTATTAAAAAACCACGTTTACCCCTACTTTTTCATACTCTATCTTATCACATTATACTTTTTCACTAATAATCAAACTATCACATCTTACTTTTTCCCATCACATCAGGAGCAAAACCGGAAAGGTTTTGTAAAACGGAGTAGTTTCTGTACATTTTGAGAAGACTCCACTCCACTCCACCCAACAACAAAGTCCATATATATAGTGGAGGGGCTCCATCTCCATCCTCATCCCCCTCCTCATCATCATTTATAATTATCATATCAAAACTATAAATTTGTTGGGAGGTGAGTTAGTTAGGAAATGGATACTTTGTTTAGACTTGTGAGAGTACTTCAACAACCCCAACAACACTCCTTCAACTCCACCACTAGCTCCTCCACCTCCACCACCCTCCACCACCACCACCAAGAAGAAGAAGAAGAAGAATGCTTCAACTTTTACATGGATGAAGATGATGATGCCTTCTCTTCCCATTCCTCCTCCAAACACCACCACCCTTACCCATCATCCTCCTCCGCCACCACCCCTCCCTACCCCCACCCCCACCACTTTGACCCGAATCTCGAATTCGGGTCATCCTTCTCGTCTGGCAACAACTGGGCCACCGATGTTCTCGAGGAAACGGCGCGCGCCATGTCCGGAAACAACACCGCCCGCCTCCAACACCTCATGTGGATGCTCAACGAGCTCGCCTCCCCCTACGGCGACACCGACCAAAAGCTCGCCTCCTACTTCCTCCAGGCCCTCTTTGCCCGCATGACCGGGTCGGGCGACCGGACTTACCGGTCCCTTCTGTCCGCCTCCGAGCGGGCCTCCTCCTTTGAGTCCACTCGGAGGACGGTCCTCAAGTTCCAAGAAGTCAGCCCTTGGACCACATTCGGCCACGTGGCGTGCAACGGCGCCATCATGGAGGCCTTCGAAGGCGAGAGGAACTTGCACGTTGTTGACATCAGCAACACGTTCTGCACCCAGTGGCCGACGTTCCTAGAAGCCCTGGCCACCCGCCAGGACGAAACTCCCCGTCTCCGCCTCACCGTGGTGGTCGTAGCCGGCGGCGGGGCGGCGAAGGTGATGAAGGAGATCGGGAGCAGGATGGAGAAGTTCGGCAGGCTCATGGGAGTCCCGTTCAAGTTTAACGCCGTTCACCACGACGGCGATCTCTCCGAGCTGGACCTAACGGCGTTGGACGTCAGAGATGACGAGGCGCTCGCGATCAACTCCGTCGGAGCGCTGCACTCCGTGGCGGCGGTGAACGGCCGCCGGGACTACCTCGTATCTCTCTTCAAGCGGCTGCAGCCGAGGATCCTCACGGTGGTGGAGGAAGAAGCTGACGTGGAGGGCTTCGACTTCGTCAAGGATTTCAGGGAATGCGTGAGGTGGTTTAGGGTTTACTTCGAGTCGCTGGACGAGTGCTTCCACAAGACGAGCAACGAGCGTTTGATGCTCGAGAGACAAGCGGGGCGGGCAATCGTTGACCTGGTCGCCTGCCTGCCCGCGCAGTCGGTGGAGCGGCGGGAGACGGGGGAGAGGTGGTCCCGCCGCCTCCATGCAAGAGGGTTTAGTCCGGTACCGTACAGCGAGGAGGTTTGTGAGGACGTTCGGGCGCTGCTGAGGAGGTACAGAGAGGGCTGGACGATGGGACACTGCTCTTCCGCCGGAATATTCTTGTCGTGGAAGGATCAGCCGGTGGTGTGGGCCAGTGCATGGAGGCCTTGACCGCCGGCGGATTAGGTTGAAGTGTGGAGGAATCGTTTGACTCGTCACGTGAGGTATCAGTTTTTTGGCACGTGTGCATGGTACCAAGCCAGTTTGGAGCTTGTGGATTTGTTGGGTTAATTGGTAGCTTAGATAGACAAATTAAAGGTATTATTATTATTATATTATTATCATTGGGGTTTTTTTTTTGCAAAATGAAATTATCGTCATTAATCTCGAGTGGCTTGGTTTTTTTTATTGTTTGTTCGTTTTCAGAATTTAATTTCAGTAATTGTCTTGGCGACATTTATTTATTTATTTATATCTCTTCTTTAATTTGGGGTTTTATTCAGAAACAAGATAGTGGTTTAGAGTAATTGTGTATGCACTCTATAGCAATTCAAGATGACTCAAAAGTGTGTTTAATTAATTTTTTTTGGTATTTAAATTCGTTCTTGTGTATATATATATATATATAATGTACATATTGAACAAGTACCCCGGCCACGTACTCATTCATACGGTACGTAGCATATTTTTCATTTTATTCAGCTAAGAAATATAGATATTTATTTATAAAAACAATTAGCATATTGTTTATTTGAATTCAGATAAGATAGATAGATATAAAAAGGATGAAGAAGATGCATTATGTAACCCACTAGAGGTCGGTCAGACAGGTAGGAACAGCAAAAAATACTGTCAAAAAAATAAAGGAAGAAAAATAAAAAATAAAAAAAACTGGGTGTGATGGTAGTGTAAGGAAAACATAACATAAAGCGAAAAACTTTAGACCCACTCTGAGAAAAGGGGGGGAAAGAAATGATAGAAAATAGGGATATGGTGCGTGGAAACCTGCTTTTTAGGTGGGTGGGGAATGAAGAAGCAAAGAAAAAGGGCTTTCTTTTTCTTCTTTTTTTTGCTTTGCTTTCTTTGAATCTTTCCGGCCTACAACTTTTTTCTTTTTCATCTTTCCTTCACGGCTTCACCCCTTTCCAACCTTTTTTTTTGTTTTTCTAATGCAAAACTAGTGGAGTACGTAGGATCAGTGTATAGTATCCTCTTCTCTGTCACAATTACAAGTTTAAACTTTTGGTTAAATTGGTTTCGTAACATTATATTAGAGTCTTGATTACCAACAAGTCACGGGTTTGAAACTCTTTCAAAATTAAGGTTCCACATGCAAGACTCGAAGAAGATACACCTGCACGTGAGAAGATGTGATAGAGTATATAAAAACTATTCCTGGCCACTACCACAAGCTTGAGATTTTAGTTAAATTTGTTCCTTGACATGGTATATATCAAAGTCTTGATAACCAAGAGGCCACGAGTTCGTAACTCACTGCCACTCAGTTTTAAAATTTAGGGTTTCACATGCAAGGTTCAAAGAAGACACGCTTGCACATGAGGGGGCGTGTTAGAGTATATATAAAAAATATTCCTGGGCCACAATTACAAGCTTGAGTATTTGGTTGAGCTGGTTCCTTGACATATACTATGCACGATTCGAACATGAGAGAATATCTAAAAATGAAAAGGTAATAATATCATGTGATTGATAATGATATTATCTTAGTGTCTCTTTTGTAAGTTTTAGATGTATAATAAGATATGAGTTTTGAAATCATAGAAAGATCACATGAGTTTTGAAATCTGAAACGAAATTGTTTAGAGAGATTTAAAATAATGATTTGATTAATGATAGGTGGGTGACCGGCAACGGAGTGTCAGGTAACACTTAGTCTCACGCCGAAGAGAAAAACTAGAGTGAATCAAAATAAATAGGTTCAACCCAACCCGGCCATTAGTATGAGACCTTTTGGTAGGTGCCCAAAAATAAATTCGTGAGGGTTTTGGCCATGAGTGGACAATATCATATTACTGCGGAATTAAGATGAGGGCTCACGCGGCCCCAATATGAGGTATCAGAGCTCAAGTTTATGCAGGCAGAAGTGACGGATTGGGCAGAAACTCCAAAACAAAGTGGGGCGGCGGTGGGCTGGACAGTGGTAGGGGTGAACGGCGGTGGGCTGGAGTGTTTTGGTAGGATACTGGCTGGGGGCAGCCTGGGGTTAACAAAAAGATATGGGGGTATTTTGGACATTTTAATGTCAAAGTCAACACTCACTAAAAATGACCAAAAGTCAAACTAGGAAGATTTTTCCCGGACGGAGGGGGTATAAACCAATTAACATTAGAAACTAAAATGAACTTATGTAAGGAAATATTTTTAATTTAAAATTTTTTCAAAGTAAATATGAATGTGCCGGGTGATGGATCGGATGACGGGTGAGAAACATCTCCACCCATATCCAACCCGATCCATCATTAGTTCATCCATCATCCGTCCATCACCATTGTCTCATGCGATCTTTTTCTCTATGCAACTGAATCGGGAGTACGGTCTCTGGAAAACAACTTTTACTTTCAAGTATGTGCAAGGTATGCGTACGCACACCTTCCCAAGATTCTACATTCGTGGGATCCAAATGTATTTTTGTTGTTGTGGACTTTTTTAAAATTTAGTTTTGAATTATTAAATTTTTATAACATATATTTATGTATAAATATTGATATTAATTATCAAAGTGTTACATATTTGACATCGGAAAAAATCAAATACGAAAAATATTTTCGTTGGAAGGGGGTAAGATAATAAAGTTTTTAAGAAAATGTAAAAGACACCATTCTAATTTTGTTTTTTTTAACAATGGTAGGTAATTAGTGATACGGACACAATTGGTCCTCATGCGGGAAACGTTGCAGCTTCAGGACGTCCACGTAGGAAGGTCGGGCCACCCCGACGTTACGAAGATTATGTTTAGCACTTTAATTATTTATTTATTATTGTATTTTAGATTTTATTAGGTGAGCAAAATTATAATGCTCCTTCGAGAGTTTCTTTTCGGTTCTTTACCTCGTCGCTTTTTATTGAACCGACAGGATAGAAAACTAGATAATTAGGCTCGGGGAATTTGTATAAATAGGGCATGATAAACCCTATCACTAGCAAGCAATAATCTCAAACCTTATTCCCCTTAACCTCTTTCTCTCTCTAAAACCCTAAAGGGTTTTGCCTCCGTTCTCCCTTGGCGTCGCTGGAATATCTCTGGCCGCCACCTCCCCTTCTCCAAATAGCTTTCCGAAGTAAACTCCGGTAAANGGTTCTTTACCTCGTCGCTTTTTATTGAACCGACAGGATAGAAAACTAGATAATTAGGCTCGGGGAATTTGTATAAATAGGGCATGATAAACCCTATCACTAGCAAGCAATAATCTCAAACCTTATTCCCCTTAACCTCTTTCTCTCTCTAAAACCCTAAAGGGTTTTGCCTCCGTTCTCCCTTGGCGTCGCTGGAATATCTCTGGCCGCCACCTCCCCTTCTCCAAATAGCTTTCCGAAGTAAACTCCGGTAAAGCTCCTAACAACTGGTGCTCTCATCTCGACCTCATGTCGGCATCCAACGATCCACCGGCTACAACTCTCGACGATATTATGCAGGCTATTGCACTTTTGAGTAATGATCTGCAAGCCACGAAGTTGCGCGTGGCCGACCTTGCCGTGCACAAGCAGCCCACCATGGAGGACCGGCGGGGTGCATATCATCATCCGCAACCGGGCTGGAGACCGCCCGCCACCGACCTTCGATCCCGCCCCCCGTATGCGTGTGGATGCCCCGCGCTTCTCAGGTGACGACCCCACCGGTTGGATCTTTCGGGTACAAAAGTATTTCGACTACTTTTTAACCCCTGAATCAGAGCGGCTACAGTTGGTGGCCATGTTGATTGATCACCCGGCCTCGGAGTGGTTTCACTACTTTCAAGCCAACAACCCCGAAGCATCCTGGTGCGAGTTCTTGGAGGCCGTGCACCAACGGTTTGATCCGGATTATTATGAGAACTACATCGGCCTCTTGTCCAAACTCACACAGACGTCGACTGTTATGGAGTACCAAGCCGCGTTCGAAGCCATCCTCAATAAAGTCTCCGGCGTTCCCGACGCAACCCTAATTGCAATGTACGTGGCAGGTCTCAAGCAGCCCCTGCGTCGTGAGGTAAACCTTCGTAACCCGTCAACTCTGCAGTCCACGTTTGCCCTTGCCCGGGAGCTTTCGGCCTGCCATCAGGATGCGGCTACCTCTTTTGCTAGCCCAGGCCGTCGGCCATGGCAATCTCGTCCCACCACAGGCCTTTTACCCACCCCTACTACCGCATCAAAACCACCAGTGCCCCCTGGCCGCACCAGCGACAAGCCCCCAAATCTCCCTATCGTTCGGGTTACAAACGCAGAGAAAGCCGAACGTAATAAAAAGGGTCTGTGCTGGTATTGCGAGGAGAAGTGGACGCCGGGGCACCATTGCAGACACCGTTTCTTGGTTCTCATGGGTCCAGATGATGATGACAATCCCGTGGCTGAACCCGACCTGCCGGATGATCCCCTCGATACAGCCGTGATTGAAGCTGATATTTCTAGCATGCACTCTCTCTCGGGTAGCCCCAGCCCCCGGTCCCTTCGCTTGGCAGGCATGGTGCACAACGGGGCGGTCCAGGTACTCTTAGACAGTGGGAGTACCCATAATTTTATTCACCCCACGGCGGCCGAACGGTTGGCCTTGCCATTGCACCCAGTGTCTCCGTTTCGGGTCTACGTGGGCAATGGTGATTCTCTGCGCTGCACGTACTCCTGCCCCGGTACTCCCCTTTCCTTGCAAGGACATTTATTTCAGGTGGATCTATATATGTTGGAAATACACGGGCCGGAAATAGTTTTGGGTATTCAGTGGCTTCAAACACTTGGCAAAGTGGCGCACGATTACTCGCAAATGACAATGGAATTTTCATGGAACGGGTCAATGATTACGCTACGGGGAGATCCTGCCACACCCCGTCCCTTAACTTATAGCCAATTTTGTCGCCTAGCAGCATCACCGGAAGCCTGTGAACTGTACGAACTCCTGCCCATTGCGTCATCTGAACCCGCACAGGAGCCCACTGCCGTGCAATTCCCAGATGCTGTGCCCGCTGCCTTGCGGCCAGTTTTGGAGGCCCATGCTGATCTCTTTCGCCTCCCGCAGGGTCTACCACCGTCGCGGGGGTGGGATCATCGCATTTATTTAGCTCCTTCGACACGCCCGATTAATGTCCACCCATACCGCTACTCGTACTTTCAGAAGACGGAAATCGAACGGCAAGTTAAGGAGATGCTGGACCAGGGCCTTATCCGCCACAGTCATAGCCCATTTTCATCTCCGGTTTTGTTGGTTCGCAAAAGGGACGGCACGTTCCGTTTTTGTGTGGATTACCGAGCTTTGAATACGGAAACCATCCCGGACCACTTCCCTATTCCGACGTCAGATGAACTCTTTGATGAATTGGGGGCGGCACGAGTCTTCACCAAGCTTGATTTGCGTTCGGGGGGTATCATCAAATCCGTATGCATGCGGGGATGTCTTCAAGACAGCGTTCCGTACTCACGACGGGCATTATGAGTTCTTGGTCATGCCCTTCGGGCTCACCAACGCCCCGTCTACCTTCCAAAGTGCCATGAATAATATCTTCCGCGAGCATCTACGTCGCTTTGTTATCGTCTTTTTCGACGATATCCTTGTCTACAGCACGTCCATGGACACCCATACAGAACATTTGCGCACGGTGTTACAAGTTCTCCAAGCCAATGCCTTCTACGTCAAACTTAGCAAGTGTTCCTTCGGCCAAGATACTATAGCCTATTTGGGGCATTTTATTGGCGCGGGTGAGCTGAAACCAGACCCGGAAAAGATTGCAGCAATGGTGGCCTGGTCCATTCCTAAGTCGGTCAAGCAACTCCGTGGGTTTTTGGGTCTCACTGGATACTACCGTCGGTTCGTTGCAGGGTATGCTCACATCGCCGCTCCACTTACTGACCTGCTCAAAAAGGAGGCCTTTCAATGGACACCCGAAGCTACCCACGCATTTGAGCGCCTAAAATCTGCCATGACGACCGCCTCGGTGCTCCATCTACCAGACTTCACACAAACATTTTATTTGGAGACCGACGCGTCGGCAACCGGTGTGGGTGCTGTTCTCATGCAACAGGGACACCCCTTGGCCTTCTTCAGTAAGAAGCTCGGTCCACGACGCCAAGCTGCCTCGACTTACCACAAGGAACTCTATGCAATCGTGGAGGCAGTCCATAAGTGGCGTCAGTACCTCTTGGGTCGAGAGTTTGTCATACGGAGTGATCAAAAGAGTCTTAAGGAGCTGCTATTACAGGTTGTTCAAACCCCGGACCAACAGTTTTATATTCGCAAATTAATGGGTTTTAAATTCCGCATCGAGTATAAAAAGGGGTCCACCAACAAGGCTGCCGACGCCCTCTCGCGTCAACATAGTGAGGATGATCCAGGGGTTTTATTTGTTGGTTATGCCCAGCCAGTACTGTAACACCCTGTAACACCCCGGCCCCCACCCTGGCCGTAAGTATTCGCTCATAGGATTGTAGACTGTCCCCCACAAACCAACACAAGTCTTCCCTTTTCCATCTTGATACGGGGTATTACAAGTACCCCACATTTTGGAATCTCTCAAGCAAGAAAACTCCTCCCTGCCAGACATCCAGGGCCTTCACTCCGCCGTAGCCAACGGTACCGCACCAGCAGATCTTTCTGTGCATGGAGGTTTTCTCTACTTCCGGCGTCGGTTCTACGTCAGCCCTTCGTCCCCCCTACGGGACTTACTGCTGCACGAATTCCATTCCACGCCGATCGCTGGACACCAGGGCATGGAGCGCACATTCCGTCGTTTGGCCGAGGTGTTCTACTGGCCGCGCATGCGCCAGGAGGTGAAGCGATATGTGGCATCTTGTGCGGTCTGTCAGGCCACAAAATATTCTACCCAAAAGCCGGCCGGCCTGCTCCAACCACTGCCTATTCCTGATCAGGTATGGGAGTCCACTTCTATGGATTTCATTACGGGTTTACCAACGTCAAAGGGTTTCTCCGTTATCATGGTCGTTGTGGATCGCCTAAGCAAGTATACGCATTGTGGTGGGTTGCCATCCGGGTTTGATGCTCCACGGGCTGCCCAATTATTTGTGGAAACAGTGGTGAAACATCACGGGTTTCCATTGACGCTCATCTCCGACCGGGACTCCGTGTTTATGAGTACTTTTTGGCGGGAGCTTATACGACTAAGTGGTACTTCTCTTAAGTTTTCGACAGCTTATCACCCGCAATCCGATGGCCAGACCGAGGTGATGAATCGGAGTCTTGAGCAATACCTCCGGGCATTCACGTTCGAGCGACCGGGCAAGTGGGCGACGTTCCTGCCATGGGCTGAATTGGCGCTCAACTGTAGTCACCACGCCGGCTTGAGTGTCTCACCGTTTCAGGCTCTCTACGGCCGTCCACCGCCGTCTCTGTTCCCCACCCTATCTCTCCGCTCAAAGGATCCACATGTGGAAGAGTTATTGCGAGATCGGGCGGAATTGTTGGCTGACCTCAAACAACACTTGGCAAAGATGCAGCAACGAATGAGGACCCAGGCTAACCTACATCGACGGGAGGTAAACTTCGCCGTGGGCGACTTGGTTTTATTGAAGCTCCAACCTTATCGGCAGCACTCCCTCGCTCGGCCGTTATCCTCTAAGCTCGCTCGGCGCTTTTACGGTCCTTTCGAAGTGCTGGAGCGCGTGGGTCTTGTTGCCTATCGATTGCGCTTGCCCGAGGGGTGCCGCATTCACAATGTCTTTCATGTGTCCCTACTCCGCCCATTTGTTGCTCGTGATGGCAGCTCCCCAGTTCCTACTTTGCCGGCAGAATTCTTCAAGGGCAGGCCAGTGTCATGGCCCATAGCAGCAGTGGATAGCCGTGTGGTGTTGGTGGCGGGTGAATCGCAGGAGCAGTGGCTTGTCCGATGGTCTGACGGTTTGGATGATCATATGACGTGGGAGCCAGTCACCACTCTCCGTGATCACTTTCCCGACTTACGCCTTGAGGACAAGGTCGAACCTAACCCCGGGGGAGTTGATACGGACACAATTGGTCCTCATGCGGGAAACGTTGCAGCTTCGGGACGTCCACGTAGGAAGGTCGGGCCACCCCGACGTTACGAAGATTATGTTTAGCACTTTAATTATTTATTTATTATTGTATTTTAGATTTTATTAGGTGAGCAAAATTATAATGCTCCTTCGAGGGTTTCTTTTCGGTTCTTTACCTCGTCGCTTTTTATTGAACCGACAGGATAGAAAACTAGATAATTAGGCTCGGGGAAAAACATATTTATCCCGTACTATTTGGGATAGTGATCGTTCGTTATTAGAGTTTGGAATAAGGGGAATTGGAGAAAGAGAGAGATTTTGGGATTTCCCAAAACGGAGGCAAGAGGGAACCGCACGCTGGAATATCTCTGGCCGCCACCTCCCCTTCTCCAAATAGCTTTCCGAAGTAAACTCCGGTAAAGCTCCTAACAATTAGATACACCCCTCTTACTTTGGAGGTGCCAGAAAAAGTGATTCTCATGTTATTGTTTGGGACGTTTCTCCTCTGATCCAAAAGTTTTGATACATTTGATCATAAATTAATGAAAATTTGTTTTTCCTCTGAAAAAATCTAGATTCAAAGTGATACATTTTGAATTATATTATACAGCAAAAACATCAAAGCTCTACAATTTCACTGCAGTGATTTACATCTACCCATTGTGCTCTAAAGAAAAAGGTAAATTAAAGAGCTCTTCTATAAAAGTCTTCACTTGTGTTCCTGCATTGTATGTGAAGGTAGACGCCACTGTTTATGCCAAAATATCGACACTCTCGACCACAACGGAAACCCGAAATTGTACTCGAGCGGCTGGTCCACGGGTCCAGCCACGGTTAAAGGTAACCATACGTACCTCGAGTCCCTCAGGTCAGCCGGATTCCATCGGTCCGCCATGAATATAAAGAAATCGGGCAGCCCGGGCACGGGAAGCACGAATATACTTTGAGCGAAGAACGTCGTCAGCTGAAAAATCTTGTTCCCACCGACACACGGGCTTCCGATCGTCTCCCACGGGCCCATTATCGCCTCGGCCGCGTGGGCCAGGGCCTCGTTCGGGGCCCACCCTGTGCACCCGGAGGTGATCATGTAATAAGTTCCTTGGTTCTTGAACAATGCCGGGGCTTCGCGGTGGTACCCCACGAGAACCCTCGACGCGGCGCGAGTCACGTCCAAGTATCGGTCGTCGAGGGGGCCCACGTGAAGCTCGCTATTCTCTATGGAGGAGTAAACAAGATAGGCGGTCCCGTCGTCGTCCTTAAAAACGGTCATGTCTCGGCTATCGTATCCGTGGGGTCGTATGCTATAGAGGTAGTCAAAGGGACCCGTTGGGGAGTCACTAACCGCAACGCCCGCCGAAGCTTTCGTGTAGTTTGTGTCATCTATGTGCATCCACATTACGTATTTGGCCGTTTTGTCGTTGTATATTACCTTTGGCCTCTCAAGAACATTTAGTGTGTATAGATCGTGCGTCTCGTTTTTCTCCTCCGCTGCTAATACAATGCCTTCGTTTTTCCACGTCCACAAATCCGTTGAAGAATAGCAGCCCACCCCGATGACATCAACCTGCAAGGGTATATATATGCCATAATATGAGACATGAACTCCAAGTAGTATGTGTTATACTATCTCATATCAGCATTTACCAATATAGAAAGATGGGCTTCTGGTGAACTCAGTTAAGAATATGATGAAATCAATGGGAAGCAGAGGAAACAACAGAAGTGGCAAAGTCCATTAAACATGAGTAACACAGAACATAGCGAGTGCGACAAAAGATTGGAACTTTACGGGTTTTAACACATGATGGGTGCACACAACACAGATTAGCATTACCTTAGAATCCATAACTACTTATGAATAACAAAAAACATCATCGAAATCTTACCCGAGCTGCTCCTTTTTTGTGGGCGTGGTAGGTGGGCCCGTCTTTATACTCTCCATACCAATAATACATATTTGTCTTCTCGTCGTGTAGAATGCCGCCTCCATGCGCTTGAATCGGGTTCCCATCCGTATCCAACCATATCCTCCCTGGGTAATAATAGTTCGTACCGTTTCCAGAATCTTTCCTGGGATCTACAGCATATTTCATACCAGGAAAGAAAAAGCTCCTAATCTGGGAGGACTCATCAAGAAATTCATCAACCAAAGTGGTTGGCCTCCTGGGCCCCCTCCTCTTGACAGCACGAGGCGATCTCTTCCTCGGTGGGGGAAGCTGTAGACTGAGTTCCTCAACTTTCTCTAGCTCGTGAAGCAGTTCGTGGCGGTTAATGCGTCTTTGAGACTCCCTGATTTGGGGATCCTTTTGACGGATTAGCGAATACAAATGGAGCAAAACAAGAAAGCCCAATAGGCTCAATACCACAACTGGCCACCTGCTCCCTACATTGCAACTTAAAGTGGTTGGTTTCCTATACTTGCCCTTCGTCCTCATTTTGTTGTTATCAATTTTTTTTCCTTCTTTTCTCTTCAAACCAGTTCTGCAGTTAATTAAAAGAAATTATGAAAATGCAACCTATAGAGATCAAAAGCTAAAGGCATAACCACATAACAATGTTGCTTAATACTCCGTAATGTCTAATTTCCATGGAATTACTCATCCAACAATGATTTATCACACAAATATTGCTCTCCTGCTCAGATCTTCACTTAAATGTCTATTAGAAAGTTGAAACTACTCTGCAAGTTGAAACTACTCTGCAAGAATCCCCCCCCCACCCCACCCAAGCAAAAAGCTAACAACTTTTTCAACAGATCCAGAGGAAATCACAAGGAAGAGATATCCATACGAAGCTCAACAAGATTCAAAGCAAGAAATTCTTGAAGAAAAATGGACAAAAAGATAATCTTTGTTTCAGATAACAAGCAGAGATGCTTACCTGAAGAAAACCTAGCCATCGATGGAAGAAAATCCCTCCACTTTGATTTCCCACAGGCCCCTTCCCGGCATCAACGGATCAAAACCTTTCCTCTCTGCTGAACTTCTTGCAAACAGATTTATAAATGCTGGGTTTCAAGTCTTTCAACCAAGACCCAAATCTTTTTCACTGTGATTTTCTTTTTACTCGAGAGAGTAATGGAATCGGGGGAAAAAAGGTGGGGTTGGAGTGTCTGGGCGGTAAGAAGTGAGGAGGGTGATGATGACTCGTTTTGAGGAAAGATTGTCAATTACGCTATTGCCGTTCGTTTTGACTTCTCTGGATTTTCCGGTGGAGGGAGGGAGATAAGGCCGCGTTTGTGGGTTTCGTCGTTTTGTATGTAATTAAATGATGGGCTGATGAACAACTACCATACTTCGTGGCCAAAATAGCCGATGTTCCATTAACCCCTTGTTTGGTAGAGAGGGAGAATAAAAAAGGAATGAAAATAATGATGGGAGTGAATGTATTGTGTTTGGATGAAGGACAATGAAAGGAAAAAACATCTCATTATTTATTTTTTTTCTCTCAAATTTTGCTGAGCAGAAAACTTAAATAGTGATGAGATTTAGTCCAACAACTATAACGTGCAAAAAACAAAGAGTAATAGAAACAACAATGAAGGGAATGAAAATCCTTACAATGGAGGATTTGTCCCCTATTTATAGTCTATTTCTACCATGTACAAGATATGTAATATTTCGTGTGCTACATTATCGGCAATTTATCAGTCATGCGTCAATCGTGGCTGGGAATCAGTCATCAACATGATTTGGGGAATCACAGCTAACTCGGGTGTTGAGCCGAACCCAACACTCCGGATCCATCATTGGGCCTTGCCTCCACGTTCCGCAATTGGACTTATATTTCTGTTGGGCCGTGCAATCGAAATTGGGGTGCCTTTGTCTGATTCTTAGGCTTGATATATATCAAATAGTATTCTGTATTTCATAACTACTTTTATTTATAGCATATTAATCACACTTTTTTGTGTGTGTGCCAGCTTTGAATCACTCCTAGATGTGTAACATTGACCTAATAACTTTTTTCAAAATGCTTATTTTGAGCAATGAAATGAAAGATAAGATTACTTAAGACAATTTTTTAATTTTTTTAGTTTTAAATTTTAAATAATGTTTCTAAAAAAATAACATTATGTTATTTTCGAAGATTTGCATCAGTCATTTAAAAATATATCAGATTGACAACTTCTTTTGTCATTACAGGAAAAAGATAATTCATATTACTACAAGATAGAAATATATTATAGTGAGTCATCAAAAAGTACTATTTAGTTTCATTAAATTCCATCCTTTGTACCTTTTTTGATATTTCATTACTCCGTACTATTTTTTGTGAAATATACACTAAATAATGGTAAAATATATGTCATTTTCTAATGTAATACCTAAAACTTTTAATTATTTAGATAGTACTTGAATAATGTCCAATAACGGAAACAATGCCCAGGTGGCGATGTACATTTACTTGAAAATGTCCAGTTTACATTGAATAGTAATACTACTTTAGGAAAGTAAAACATATGGTACTACGCTGAGAAACTCACTATTTCTTAGTACTATATAGGTGAATTCATCCTCTTTTTTAATTTTCAAGCAATCAAAACTAACATACATTAATCTTAACCAATTAAAATAATTATTTAGCTCATAACTAGGTGGTCAAGCCCATCTTTCAAGCGGCATAACACATACTAGGAGAAGTAGGTATGAGGTGTTTTTGCTTTCAGCTTTTGTGAAAATTACTTTATTCATAAATTAATCACTCCCAAACACCCACTATATATATTTACTCATGCTCTACTGTTTACAAGACAACTAAGGAATATATCAAACCTTCGTATTAATTTCTCCAAAATTCAAGAGCCATCAAATTAAACTCTTCATTTGAAGAATTTGAGATATTTGAAAATATTAAATCTAAAATCTCTTTATGTTTCACCTTACACCAAAAAAAGATTTTAATACCGGAAGATATAAAAACTCATACATCTTGCTTTAACCATATGAGACATAAAAAATATCTTAAACACATTAAAAAAATAGAGTAGCTTACCGATTGTACGTGCGTTCAAGTTTTTACTTTTTAACTATTGGGGGCGTTATTGTGCATATTTGATTATTTGATAAACTTGTACACTTTGGGAATATTTTGTTTGTCACTCTATGATTATTTGTAGAAAATAGTAAGATACTCCCTCCCTCACTAAATAAACTTTCTCTTTCGTTTTTTTTTGTCCTCAAATAAACTTTTCTTTTCCCTTAAAAAACTCATTTATTTTACCCTTTACTTTTTCATACCCTACCTATCACATCATACCTTTTTACTAATAATCTACCTATCACATCTTACTTTTACACATCACATCAAGGGTATTTTTGGAAAATCAACACAAAAATATCCCTTCTTTAAATTATCAAAAATTCAAAAATGAAAGTTTATTTAGGGACGGAGGGAGTATTAAATTGGCTTAGAAAATATTTTGTAAACTTCTATTTCTACTATAACTAGAATTATATATCATTCTATGAAAACAATAAAGTTTCTTCCTTTCCGTTCTAGTGTGTCACACCAATATATATTATTCAAACATAAAAGAGAGTACTCCGTAGTTTATAGCATTATATAGGTACACAAAGTTTTATTTACTTGACAAACAGCAAGTTGAATTCTTCAACACTGCCTATTCAAATCAAAGTATATATGCATATACACACATTCTCAGATTCTTCTGCAACTATATATGTATAACCTAAGTTAAGTTGTAACCATGAATCTAGCCTACAGGAGTATTTCTTGAACTCCAGGCCAGGGGAAAAAAGATGATCTAATTAAACAACCTATGAACAGAACAAACGAATGAATCCTTAAACACGTTCTGGGACGATAGAGCACGGAGAGAAAGATTTCCCCTTGTCCTGATAAGCTTTTGCAGACCACAACAATGTCAGGAAGACTAAACAAATGGAGAAAGACAACATAGAAGACCATAGTTGCAGTGCAGCTTTTCGGAACGGCTGGCATTGGAACTGAACAATGTCTGAGAATGCTTGTTTTACCTGGGAGCATTGAATCAGGCTCACCAAATCTGGGAATATGTCTATCAGGTCTTGGAGAGACTCACTGTATGCCTTGCATTGATCATATATCGCCTCCGGGAGGAACTTCCCTTCCCTCTCACAATTTTGCGACGATTTGTAGCACGTGAACCGCGAGAGGATCTATATATGTACCAATGAAATGACTATTGTTGCTTATATTTGGTCTAGACCGTAAATTTGAACTTTTGGTTGAGTTGATTTTCTACTTACATTTGGCAAGTTTCCAACGGGTATAGAATTCTCGGGGCATTGGTCCGGGGCGAAGGTGTAATTAGGTGCACCAGCAAAGGGGTTACAGATTTCCCAAGCTCGCGAATCGCGTTGGGTTTCGGTTGACACCACCGCTGTGAGGTCAGCAAGTTTGGAGTTAATCTGTCATTTGCGCAACGAACTGTGACAAATAAGTCGCGAGGAAAGTTTCGACCGAAGGCAAGCATATGACGCATTATATTACGATAAACGAAATAGAGCACCTGAGACATGTAGTTGTGGACAGTGTAACCAATTTGGACCAACAATGTGTTGGAAGTTGTGGACTTGGCACAAGGAACTGCAGATTGCAGGCTACTGTTTTGAGGACTTTGCTGAAAATCTTCCAATGCATTGCAAGTGTCTTCTGCAAAACTGTAATTTTTTCTCTAAGATTATTACAGGTTTAGATGGGGTAAAAAAACATGCAGGGATTAAAGGAAAGAGGAGGTTTTACTAACTTGTGAAAGAAGAAATTAACCCCCGTCAGAATCCAACTCAGAGTGGTCAAAATCCAAATGCAGAATATCATGCTGAGAAAGAAAGAGAGAAATTTGAAGGATAGAAACAAAAAAAAATGTTGTGTTGATAATGAGCAAAGATCTTTTGACAATTTGACACCAAGCATGGGTGTCATTGCCATATTATGACATCGGATGTTTCGTTGATAACCGAAATGGTTCCTATCCCTTGGAAAGGGCATTATCCATGGGAGCTGGGGTACTAGTAGAGTATGACACTCGTGTCATATTATGACATTCAAAATTGGTGTCAAAAGAATTATTGGGTTGATAAATAAGCTGATAAGACAAAATGAGAAAGGAAATGTCATAAATATGCTTACATTATGAGTCCAAGAGGCCACCTAAAGAAGAATGAAACTGGGCCAAAGCAGCATTCCATTAGTCTAACCACATTTGGTATGTCACATGTTTGTCAACAAGGAAACTCTAGTAAAAACAAAAGGAGTGTAATAATAGCATATATATATCAACTCTTATTAATCTCTCTCCATTTCTTAGCTCAAAACAAATGTTCAAATTTGCACCTAATTCAGTGTCTAATTTCATGTGTTGTACCCATGCATCTCACCTAATGCGGCGACCAAAAATGCCAAATTGGCCATCACGATGACAAGATTTGTCACATATCTGAAATTTGAAAAAAAAAAATGTGTAAAAAAACATCTTATATTGAAAATTTAAACAATAGAATCTTTCAATGTAATTTGACGCTCACAGAGCTACAATTGCTTCCTTGCTGGAGTGTCTGCTTGAGTCTATGAACTGTTTGACCGACACCGATTCTCTTCTCAGTGAATGTGTTGTGACATTCAGGACACGAATAGCTTCCGAGTTGTACGGGTTGAGAACGGTCTGGATGGTTAACAATATGTTCTTCGTCCTTTGCATGATTTCTTGAGCCTCAGAACCCACATCAAGGATTGTTTCTATAAGCTTTTTGGATTTGTGCATGCTTCTTTCGTTCGCCGCTACCCCTAAGCTCCCTGCAACTCTACAACATCCCCATGAAAAAAAAAAGTAGATCAATCTCGAAGTCTGTTTAATTTGCTCGTATTCTTATATATTAGTCTTCTTTTAGCGTGATCGTTTCGATGCAGGATTATTATATATATCTTCGACATTACATAAACTGAATGATTTATACATGGGGAGTAGTCTAGAGAGACTTAATTACATGGTGAGAATGGTGAAGAAGATGATGATGGAGAAGAGCATGATGTAAGAAGAATGAGGATGATCAACCATATGCTCATAGCTATCACTTGAATTCTTGATCATTATGTAACTTGCAAACCCCACTCCACACAAGAGCCAAATCCCCGCTATCACATACCCGTGGATCCCTGTCCTCGTCCTAGACTGTTAGAATATAAAAAACTTTTCTTGAACATCTGAACTAATTAAAAAAACAAGATATGAGGGAAAAGACGAGACACATACGACCCAGTAGTGCTTGTCTGTGATGTTGTATTTATTAGAGCCACCTCCTCCGCCACGGCTGAGCAGGGCATTATGGGCATTGGCGAGAGGAGTGTCGCGGCGGGCGTGGGACCCGGTGGCGGAGCCGGAGATCAACAAGAGAAGACAGAGAGGGACGAAGCAGGACGACGACGACGATCCGCTTGAGAGAGGAGATAATAAAGGAGACACCATCGTATCGAGTATCGATCTCTATCTCAGAATACTAGCGTTTGTTAGTTTGCGGAGAGAGATCAGATCAGAGGAGGATTGAAAGAGGAATGAGGAAAAGGCGGGGGCGAAGGTTGCTTAAAGGGCGGGAGAACACAGAGATTCATTCCTTGGCTTGGTCTATTTCAGGTGTGGAATCACTTGCCCTCTCTCTGTTTTTTCTTGTTTCCCTTCTTTCTTTCTTAGAACAAAGATTTTGAAAAGCTGTGGAAACATTATTTATGGATCACGTCCTAATCTTTTCTTTTCATTTAATAAAAACATGACCAGTACTATATTTTTATCATTAAAAACATCATTTTACCCTAATATGTTAGATTTATTCATTAAATTATTTTATTGTATTAATATCTAATTTAATTTTATTTAATTGATGAATAAAATTTGTTCAGTCTCATTTTAAATAGTCAAGCTCGATAAGTAAGGTTTCGCCTGATCCAATCTGACCTGGTCTTTTGAAGATCTAATTGCAATTATAAGTAAAGCTATTTCTGATCTGGTCTGAGCTGACCTAATTATAATAAGAATAAATAATAAGCATAAAAAATAAATTGAACGAAATGCTGCCTAAGTCTTATCGTTTCAAATTATACGTATCACTTTTTAAAGTATTCTTACTCCATATTTTTCATGTGTAATTTCATTAGTACTTTAATCTTAAATCTTAATTACAATTTAGCAACAAAAAAAGACCCAATAAATTACTCCGTAAAAAGGAAGTAGTATGTGATGTGTTTAAATATTTTTCAAGCTCAATAATGAGTGTGTTTGTGGGCACAGTGAAGAAGATATGGAAAAAAGGGGACATGAAATTAATTCTCTCGGTAATTATTAATTAAATATAGATAGACATTAATAAAGGAGAGAGCGTGAGTTACGGGTCTTTGTGCCCACGGAACTCCATCATTATCGTGTGACCGCAAGTTTAACTACAATTAATAATCATTCTGTTTCAATTAAAATTGTTTATTTAATGATATTTGATTGAAATTATTTTGTGTATGTTTGGGAACGTGGATTTGGATTTCAAATCCGGATTTGGCTCAAATTCCATGTTTGGGAAACTTAGAAATTTTGAATTTGAATTTGAATCAAATTCTTCTCATTCATAACAAAGTTTAATTTTAAATCCATGTCCCTCCCCTTGTCATTTGAAATTCTAGATTTCAAATTTTAGAATTGAAATACATGAATTGAAATGAAATCCTAGTTGCCAAACACTACCTTATATAATTAAAAAGTAAAAATTATATATTTAAATACTATATAAAAAGACCTACAAGATTAATGATGGCATGACTATATTATTTTATCAAATGACTAACAAAAATCAGAAAAGAAAATGAATAAAATTTGACCATGTAAATAATAAACAAATAATTAAATTTAGATCGGAGGGAATAATTTTTTCCCCTTTTGGCATAGTGTTAGGTGTTTCATTTTCGAGCAACACTAGTCATTATTTTTTATTATCCTCCATATATCATCACTTCATTTCACATAAAAAAAATTAAAAGTCTAAATTCTACTCTCTCTCTCTCAAAGTATACATCTAAACTTTCTCGAATCAAACAAAATGATCTTTGACCATCAACTATATTAGATTTCTATTATCGAGTGCATATTAATACAATAAAGGAAATTTGTATTCGTTTTTCGTTAGATAAATATATAGCAATAATTTTTGTACCAATATTCAATATAATTTTATTTCATTGGTGATCAAATTTTATTCATTTTGAATTGAAAAAATCAAAACGAAACAAATTAGTTAGGGCAAAAATAGTAAAATTTAGAGTATGGAAACAAGAATATCGTACCATGGTTATACTTAATTAATAAAATCTTTTTCAACCTTTTAGTTCATAAAAACTTTTTCAATAAAATGATTAGTATGACAGTTATTGCAATAGTTTGGTGAGAAAATTTAGAAAAACTTTTTGAATTGAAAAAGTGAGAAATTAGAAAATTTGATGATTTTATTTTAATATTGTCAACTTTAAACTATATGAACCCGTGCCATCTCGATCTGAAAATAAATGTAAATTTGACTTTTTCAATCAAATTGTGATATTTCTAATAGACACACATTTTGTGAGGGGCTTACGACGGGGTTGGGATGGAGGTGTAGGGTGGGGGGTTTAAGGGATGGGTTAGGGGATAGGAACCGTCAATTTTACGAACGAAGCATCGGAAGTGCCCCAAAAAGGCAGTGACACCGCTAGTGACACCGGAGAACTGTGCCACTCCGGTGCCACTACCTTTTCGGGGCACCTCTGGTGCTCCGTTCGTAAAATTGCATANGTAGGGGGTTTAGGGGGTGGGTTAGGGGGGTAGGAACCGTCAATTTTACGAACGGAGCACCGGAGGTGTCCAAAAAGGCAGTGGCACCGCTAGTGGCACCGTTCTTCAGTGTCACTAGAACCGGTTGTAGTTTTAAACACAAAATTATTACTCTATATAAATTAAAATGAAACACTTTCCGTCCTAAAATGAGACTCGTTATTTTTCTATGAGATGTCCAAATTCTAATAAAAGGCTTTTCTTAACTTTTATAAAAACTTTGAGTGGCTCGGAATTATTTTTTCTCTTTTCCACATCACTCAATGATATAATTTCACTTTTCTTAAACGTTGTGCCAAGTTAAACTATGAGCTTTTTTGTAGCGGAAAGAGTACTTTTTAATTGATAGAAAAATCTAATTAAAAAAGGAAAATTCACAAAAAGGCTTCGATAAATTATTGGTTTTACAAGAATATTCCAAAAATCAATTAATTACATCATTACTTCTAAAATGGCTCTTTTTTACAAAAACACTCCACCCACCGCCTTAATTGCTCAATAAAATTGTGTAATATCTAAATAGACGTATACTTTGAGAAGAAATTATAAGGAGTTGAAAAATTGAAAAGAATTAGAAAAATTTGAAAGTTAACTTTTACAACCCAAAAAAACAACCTCTTAAAGTAGAAATTTGATATTTTAGTTGGATGAAGAATAAGTAATTAATTAATTTTTTGTATGAAAACTGAAAAAAATGATTTATTTTCCAAGTCATCAATTTAAAAATTTATGTAAAAATTAGATTGTGCAAATGAGATAGCACTTGGAATGTTTTTGAGAAAATAGAGTTGATGTAATTATAAAAATAATGATATAATTAATTAATTTTTAGAATATTGTTGTAAAAGAAAAAAAAATCCTAATGCACCCATGTTGTTATTGTTAAGAGTCAATCATTGATTGGGAGAACCCAAAGAGGGATGAATGGAGTGCATATTTTCCATTTATTGGATTAATTAGACACAACATTAATTCGTACCGCAAAAACATTGGCCGCGTTTGGATTCGGAGTGAGGGATCTCTCTCTCTCTCTCTCTCTCTGCGCTTCCCAACTCCGACTTTCGCAGATCTCCGAATCGTCGCGTCAACCATGGGTCTCTGGGAAGCTTTTCTCAATTGGCTCCGAAGGTAGGTCAACCCATCCCGCCCGCCCCCCCAAGATTCCTATTTTTCATTCCGAATTGCCTTTTATTTTCCAGCTCTTATCCAAACATGGGAACTGTTATCTCTGCAGTGCATTTTTTGTTTTGTCTTCTCCATATTTCGTTTTATATTCAGAGGCTTTTGTATCGTTGTGCGATCCGTTTTCTTTTGCCTGTTTTTTTTTCTTTTGGGGTTCTTTGTAGTTACTCTGAAGATTTTTTTTTATATATAATTTTATCAGCCGGGACTCGAGGTTAGCTGCAATGAATAATTGTGGTCATAAAGATTTATCTCACATTCTTTAGATTGCATTGATGAAACTGAAATTGACTTGTGAAAATGTGCACTTTTGGTGTTCCCGTGCCTGCTTTGGAGGCAATTTTAGCCCATCCATACCTCGATCGCAGCCCCGTTTCGTTCAAAATAAGTTTCTTGGTATTATGAGCATCCACTCATGAACAATTCATTGTATTAGTGGCAAAGAGATTATTTTTTTCTATGGGTTTGGTAAATCATAAGCTTTGCTTTTGTGTTCTTCTGTTATCCTGCAAATGCTGCTATTAGGCAAAGAGAATCCTTCATGACCTGTTTTCTCTGGACCTCAAAAAATAATATTCAATCCTTTCTCTAGAGTTTACAAATGTGAACACCTTGGTAGTCTGTCACTGGACTGATTGTTGTAGCTTTAGGATTTGTTCGGATTGGGTGTGGCATGGTTATCATTCTGGCTATTACCATGGCAAACAAAGATATAGTATGGGGTTTTGATACAAGTTCAATAGGACTTGTTATACAATTTTATTGATATAAGGGTATAATAGGAATTTACTTTTACCTCATCCGTCCCATTGGTATTTTCCATCATTCAGTTTTTGTCCGTATCATAAATTTTTACCCTTCCATTTAAGGAAGGAAACTCGTGGCCCACATGTTTCATTCTCTTATTAAATAAATGTCAACCACACTATCAATTTCTTAAGCTTCGTGCCGCCGGCACTTGGACAATCCAAATGGGATGGAGGAAGCATAAACTTTAGAAAATCATGAAACCCACCAAATTGGTGGTTTAATATTCTTTGGAGAAACCATGAATTTTTAAAATCATGGATCACCTTTGAAAACCATGATATGGAATTGGGAACAAACATGATTATGATGGAGACACCACAAGTTAAAAATTATAAACCACAAAACAAACAAGGCCTTAGTGTTTTAGAACTTGTTGTACTTTATGACATAGCAGATTTTTCATAAGAAATTGTTGTCTCTATCTCCATCTATTGAGTTATTTAAACTGGGTGCACTAACAAGTTCCAACTTCTTTCAGCCTCTTTTTCAAGCAGGAAATGGAGCTTTCTTTGATAGGGCTTCAGAATGCTGGAAAAACTTCTCTAGTAAATGTCATTGCTGTAAGTATATAGCTCTAGATGAAGCCTAGGGTCCCTCCCCTTCCTTGATATCAATTTCCATATGTGCCATATGATTTTGTTGAATCTAATGTCTTTTATATGTTTTTACCTCACTTGATTTCGTTCTTAGACCGGTGGTTATAGTGAAGACATGATACCTACGGTGAGTTCATCGTATATGATCTTTTTAACGTGAGCAACAGTATCTACTTTCAAATTTCTGTTGGTTAACGTTGATAATGAAAGAAATCAATTGTTGCTTTAATTAGGTGGGATTCAATATGCGGAAGGTTACTAAAGGAAATGTCACCATAAAGTTGTGGGACCTTGGAGGTCAACCAAGATTCCGCAGTATGTGGGAGAGATACTGTCGTGCAGTATCTGCTATAGTGTATGTACCTCTTTTCCAGCTCAATTTTTATTACTCCCTCTGTCTGATATCATGTTTTTACTTGCCTTTTTTGTTTGTCACAAAATAATGTTACTTTTACTTACAATGTTGATCATATAAATCTCAACCAAATAGTGTTCACTTTCTTCGGTGCCAAATTGTCCATATAAATTAAATTTGGATGCTCCATTTGCCCTAAAAAGAATCTTTTGAAATGTTCTTTTTATCCCAAAAGAGTTGCATACGAATAGAGCAAATTTTATATTTAATATTAACATAGATATTTTCAAATGAAGTATCCCAAACAATTAAATACCTCAAATCTAATTGAACCAACAAATAAATCTCAAAATGTAACTAGAATTGATGGTTTCCAAAAGTGTTATCTTACGAAAATAAAAAGTGTACTTGAATGAAACATGACTCTTTCCCCGGGGGGTGGAGGGGGTATTATATAGTGAAAATAATTCATATTCGGGCTCTTGAAATTGTATGTTCTAGTCAAGTAGGCCTGTCACTCCCATGTAGTGGATATATGCATCAATTTATTTGTTTCGCTGTGATACTGTAACGAGACCCTCAAACTTACCGTCATTTGCAAGTTTAAAGAGAAAAAAATTGAATTTCGATCGATTTTCACTTGGAATAATTGTCAATTGATTGCCATGTAGGCATGCCCGACATGGTCATTACTCGTGGTTAAAATTCGGTATACTGACCTACTTGTTTGCTGCAGATATGTTGTAGATGCTGCTGATCCGGATAACCTCGGCACTTCAAAGAGTGAACTCCATGACCTCCTGAGCAAGCCATCTTTAAGTAAAATCGCGTTGCTCGTTTTGGGAAACAAGATCGACAAACAGGGGGCTCTGTCCAAGCAAGCTTTGACTGACCAGATGTAAGTGTAGGGTGGAAACAACTCATTCGAGTAACCCTCGTCCTCTACTTCACTCAGAGGGTCTTTGGGTGTCCTTATATTTTAAAAGAAAAGTTGATTATTTTGCCAACATAATCTCTAAGCATTTCAGCTTCTGCTTCTTCATCTTTGGAAAAACCATCAAAAACCAGACATTCCCAAACATTCCAAACTGCATCTATCCAAATCAAGAGTCGAGGATCTCAGTCCAAAACACCTATAAATATCTTGTCTTGTTTCAATAATGAAATATGGGTTTTCGCATGGGGTTAAATAAACCTCCTTTTTTGTGATTCTCTACAGGGACTTGGCATCCATATCTGACAGAGAGGTCTGCTGCCATATGATCTCTTGCAAGAACTCCACCAATATCGACTCTGTCATCGATTGGCTCATCAAGCATTCCAAATCTAAGAGTTGAAGATGAGTTTCTCCGATTTTCTAATCGTGTGTGTGTTCCATTTCAAAGAGACGCCTCGGGTTATATCGTGCCTTCTTTCTTTCATTGCTATGTGATGGCGGTGTATATTATTATTATTATTATTATTATTCTTTTGTTAACTGAGAGAGTTTAACTATTTTTCTGTTTCACGTATGTGTATTGTCTGCCTGTTTAAACATGTTTAATTGAAAACATTTTCCTGTTTTTTTGTTTCCTATAATAAATTAATAATTAATCAACACTTGATTTGGCCCGGCTGTTTTTAGGTTTCTATGTTCCAATCGAAAAAACAGCATATGTTTCAAAATACTTCTCTTATTCCTAAACAAATTCCAACAATTTTTCTAACACTTTTCTTAGTTTTCATATATTCATGTTGTAGACTTGTGGCATGATATAGTGCAATACATTCTGGGGGTGTTTTTTGAACAGTTATTTTGCTTTTTAAAAAAAGAAATGTTTTGAAAACCGGATCAAATGTTGACCCAGACGAAAGAGTGAGCCCAAGGTTAATTTGGTCGAACCGGTCAATTCAGGTCAATGACTTGGTTTTGTGTTCTTTTACTAATCCATCTAGTTTTCAGTGTCGATATGTCTAATACTTTTTGAAACTTTTTATTTCTTATTTCTATTATTTTTGTAATGGAGCACTATTAAAGTTTCACATTTAGTGAATAATTAGTAGATAAGAAAAGGCAAATTGTAGTACTCATGCTATCCTGAATTAATCATCTAGCTTAGCTTGATTTCACGGGGCTCAAGAAAATATTAAAAAAGTAAAAAAGTGATTGTTTGAAGAGAAAATTGTAAAAGACATATTTTGGAACGGGATAAAAAAGAAAGTGAGACAGTTAATTCAGCACGAATGGAGTATATAAAAATGATAGAGTAGTAAAGGTTACTTGATTTTTAAAGATGCAATATTTTTTAGTTATAATTTATTCATGATTCGTATTTGTTTTTAGATAAAAAACAATACTCCGTAATGTTCATTTCTTTTTTCATGGTTTTTAACTTTTTATAGTGAGCAAATATTTTTTTATTTTTACTTTGTATAAGAGTAGATGACATTAATTTTTAGGTAAAACTATTAAAATTTATTTTAAGATAAAACATAAATAATGTTCTTTCTTTAATTTAGATGTAAACCTACGAACCAGCTTGGTCACCTGTTTCAAAAGGTTTAATCTGGGTTTTTAAGAAAAAAGGTGTCATCATTGAACCGAACCAAAATGCATCTAAGTCGCGGTGATCAATTAGATCATCTGGTCTGGTTCTGAAAACATGAGAAAAGTAAACCAATTATTGGTAAGAAATGGAAACTATCTGTTTTGATTAGTGTCCATCATCTTCAAGCTTGTTCTCTTCAACTTATCTCATTGGTTCTGTCGTTCTAATCTTATATGATTGTTGTATTTAAAGTTATTTGAGGTCTGATTCCAATAATAATTAATAATAAATACTCGTAATACGGTAAGTCTAAAATGACATCAGTGCTACTGGTGTCATTTGCTTACACTAGTTCGTTTGGGATATCTACGGTGCTCCGCTTGTAAAACCGACGGTTCCTAACCCTCCCCCTAAACCCCCCAACCCAGCCCCACCCTTGCCCCCCCACCCAGCCCCCCCTCCCTACCCTGGCAGTACACTAATAACAGTCTTTCACCCTCTTCAATCCCTAATAACCTACAGACATGAAAATGCAGAGACTGTTTGAATGGATGACTGATCTTGAGGAAGAAGGCATTAAAGCCTGTTAATGGCAACTTATACATTCAACATTGAGCTGCAACGATTATAGAACTACTTGCATTTCGACTTCATGAACTCCTTGGCTAATACTCCATATTAATCAATATAAACATCATCCCTGCACAATACACTTCAGTTCTCCGTATACGCAAAAAACAAAAAAAAAAACAGATTTACAATATTATCCACAAAATTTGCTGAGGTTGCAAATTACTAGACATGGATGGTGGTCTGAAAGTTCAAAGCCTTACTTGCTGCTTCAGCAAAACAATGCGCAGCTTCAGCCTCTGCCTCGGCTTCCTCTGCTTCCAGTGCCGCCCGTTCAGCCTCTGCAATGGCAGCTTCAGCTTCTGCAACTGCTTGCGCTGCAGCAATGGCCGCCTCTTGTGCATTCATACTCCTCATTTTCTCCAGCTCGGCATCAATCTGTGCTTTGGTCAAAATTCTTATTCCATTACTACTTTCCGGTTTTGGAGAGGGAAGTGTCACCTGCTTTTCCCCCATAACCATTGGATGAGAAGGCTCCCCCTTTACATCTGTCGACATCCCACTTGGTGCGATCCTGTAAAAATGCTTCACCTGGTAAAACAAAAACTCATATTATCAATATTCTATATCAGAGAGAGAGAGAGAGATAGGGAGAGAGATTAATTTGGTTGTTTCATTTGAAGTTTAACTGCAATAACCTTTATTAGCCTTCTTCTGTCTGTTAAGTCCTTCAAATTTGCAGCCAATTGCCTTTCCAGGTTTGGAGATGCCTTGTAGTTCTCCTAAATAAAGATTAAGAGAGTGGGATTGGAGGTGAATGCGGATGATTAACAGATACAGGCATTGGACATCAAAGGGGTTGATTTATATCGTATTTCGGCTTAATAGTCAGATTTTTCATCAAACACTTCACCAAACAAAGATTTATATCACTGCAATGTTCTGGTTGAATCCAGTGATAATGAAAACAAAAGGTAATACAAGAGGTACTTTTTGGCTGAAATGGTTGAAAGTAAGAAGATTGACATTTGTACCTTCATTTTAGATATGATTTTTTTAAATTTAGGTCATAAATAAACTTTACATTTTTTAGATAAGTAAGCAAATTTGGCAATTTTGGCCACAATTTCAGGCCTTTCAACAGATCCAACCATCTCAGGTCTTACCAAGAAGGCTTTAAGTGTTACATCTACAAGAAAATAATGGATTAAACCGACTTTATTTCCTCCATACAGGGCAGAGGAATCCCAGCAATTTGAAAAAAAAATCATAAAAAGATACATAACTAACATAAGCAATACAATTGTCATCCCAACCCCAGCCCAATGCCTGTCCCAAAACACGTAGAGTAAAACATGAAGTGCATGCAGCAGGATTAATCCATGTAAATAAAATAAATAGGCAGGGAAAATAGCAAATGTAATAGTGTTTAGCAAGCATTGTCAGTTAACTAGCATGCATGAAGAAACTACCTCAATGTACGTGCAAATTGCATTTCTACTAGATCCACGGGGTTCCTTCAGCTTGGCAATAGCCTCCATTATTACTTCGTCCAAGCTGTATTGAATAGTAATAAATAAGAATTACTGAGAATGGAGAGTTCATTGAAAAATGACACGCTCGTGAAAATTAAATAGCATAACAGTATGCACCATCACGTGAAGATGAGGAAGTCAGAATAACCTTGTAATTGGCTTCTTAGAACTATCATCAATACATGTTCCACTAACTGTTGCAAGGGGCTTCTCATCAAGAATATCCATATCATTCTCAGCTATAGTGGTAAGAGCCATAGATTCTTCATCATCATGCTTGGATTGAGTGCTTTTACAGACAATCTTACCCCGCTGCCTAGACCCCCAACCATTTGCCATGACATGGAGATTTCTCCATTTATCCTGTCCAGTTCTCCCGTTAAGCACATGAGAACCATATTCTCCATTGCCAAAAACAAACTGAAAATAAAATCTCTCTTCAGATGAGGCATATAGATGCCAAATGCTTATGTGTTTATTACCTTGAGGTCCACATTAGACCGAGAACGCAAGATTGGAGCAAAGTCTGGATCTTTGAGTATGGTGCTCCATTTTCCCATCCCATACTTAGCCACACCAGCTTTAAGTGCAGCTTCTTCGCCTGATGTCCACTTAAGCTTTGGTGCACCCATTGGTTTGATGACTCTCTTCTACAAATTCTAAACAAGTTCAGCTCTCTCACACATGACACACGAACTGTAAGATCCAAGAACCGAAATTAGACAACACAAACACCATTCACATTTGACCTCTTTCTTCTGTTAAATCATCAGGGTGCAAAATGTAACACTCCGAGCATCCCAAAAATAAGTTCCTATTTCGACTTTTGCAGCAAAATGTAATGGAATTCGAACACATGTTGCATTAACAATCCATAGAGTTGGAGTTATAATTTGAACTTAATACCATTATATATCATGGATATTGCCACTACAAAAACTGATATTTACACTCACACAAATGACACAATGTTTTATAAAGAATGGTGACATTAATAACTTTTGGAGTAATGTTCAACTATATTGGACAAATTATATACGAGTAATTGTTAATATCAATGGAAAAATAGTTGGTAAGAATCCACCCAATGAGTAATTTGAATAATTTACTATTAGGTTGCCAATTAGGGAGTACTAACCAAACCAAGCAATTGAAAAGAGAATTGGCTGACGTTTATTCATTTGCTAATCAAGGAAAACTACCCTGTTGAGCTATGAAGGTGCAGTAATGGCTAATTTCATCCGTCCACTCTAATTAAACATTTAAACGTAACCCTAATCAATCGCAACTCGCTGGATTAATCTGAAGGTTTATACTACGAGCACAGATGCTTCAAACCTGGAAAGAAATGGAGTGGAGGACGGGTCTATGACAGTCCAAGCGGCTTGTGGTTGACCGGATGAGAGGTCAAAGGTCTCGGATGTCGGATGTGGCCAGGGTACGTCAGGATACGACGACGGGCGGAATAGGGTGCGGATAGTTTTTTTCAGGCAAACGATAGATGCACAGAGACGGAATGCAGGCGTAGGGGCTGTGGTTTGGTAGAAGTCGGCATGATTGAATGCGGCGGCGGCGGCGAGTTGATGCGCTTTGGGACTTTTTCTACACTGGTGCAAATGAAGGAAGAACTATGATTCTATGAAGACATTTCTTTTTTTTAATAATTAAAAATGAAATTCTGATATGCTTGCAAAAATGAAAAAATTTATTCGATTTTCTTTTAATTCTTTTAATTTCTATATATAGTCATTTACCAATATACTAACAATGTAAAACCCCATAGGAACTAAGAAAAGAAACCGCTGCCGCCCCCCTTAGTCATATTCAGAAAAAACGTGGACCTTTTAATCCTATCTGAAACAAATTTTTCATAATATATACTTTGTACTTACTAAAGATCCGTATATTTGTAATAATACTGAGCAGTAATAATTAAGAATAAAATTCTGATATGCTTACAAAAATGAAAAAATCTATTAGATTTTCTTTTAATTCTTCTACTTTCTATATATACTCATTTACCAATATAGTAACAATGCAAAACCTCATAGGAACTAAGAAAAGAGACCGCTGCCGCCCCCATTGGTCATATTCAGAAAAAACGTGGACCTTCTAATCTTATATGAAACAAATTTTTCATAATATATACTCCGTACTTACTAGGATCCGTATATTTGTAATAATAGCGAGTAGTAATAATTAAGAATGAAATTTTGATATGCTTGCAAAAATGAAAAAATCTACTTGATTTTTTTTAATTCTTCTACTTTCTATTTATACTCATTTACCAATATAGTAACAATGCAAAACCCCATAGGAACTAAGAAAAGAGACTACCGCCGCCCCTTGGTCATATTCAGAAAAATGTTGACCTTTTAATCCTATATAAAACCAATTTTTCATAATATATACTTCGTACTTACTAGGATCCGTATATTCGTAATAATACCAAGCAATAATAATTAAGAATGAAATTCTGATATGCTTACAAAAATGAAAAAATCTACTAGATTTTCTTTTAATTCTTCTAATTTCTGTATATACTCATTTACCAATATAGTAACAAACTAACAATGCAAAACCCCATAAGACCTAAAAAAAGAGACCACTGCCGTCCCCCTTGGTCATATTCAGAAAAAACGTTGACCTTTTAATCATATATGAAACAAATTTTTCATAATATATACTCCATCCATTCCATATTAACTGTCTATTATGACTTTCTTGATACATTGAAAAATTAATGAATGTAGACATACTTTATGTCTACATTTATTCATTTTTCAATTTATCCATTCCATAAGAAAGTCATACTTTCTGTACTTACTAGAATCTGTATATTTGTAATAATACCGAGCAGTAATAATTAAGAATGAAATTCTGATATGCTTACTAAAATGAAAAAATCTACTAGATTTTCTTTTAATTCTTCTACTTTCTATTTATACTCATTTATCAATATAGTAACAATGTAGCAAAACCCCATAGGAACTAAGAAAAGAGACCGTCGCCATCCCCCTTGATCATATTCAGACAAAACGTTGACCTTTTAATCCTATATGAAACAAATTTTTTATAATATATTCTCCGTACTTACTAGGATCCGTATATTTGTAATAATACCAATCAATAATAATTAAGAATGAAATTCTGATATGCTTACTAAAATAAAAAAAAATCTACTCGATTTTCTTTTAATTCTCCTACTTTCTATTTATACTCATTTACCAGTATAGTAACAATGCAGCAAAACCTCATAGGAACGAAGAAAGGAGACTGCAGCCGCCATGGAAAGAATTTGCAAGACGAAGAAAACTCAAGGCCGCCGGAAAATCGACATAATAAAGATAGACAACGTCAACCACCGACACGTGGCGTTCTCGAAGCGCCGCCTCGGGCTCTTCAACAAGGCCAGCGAGCTCTGCATCCTGTGCGGCACCCACGTCGTGGCCATCGTCGAGTCCTACGGCGGCAAACGCGTCTTCACGTTCGGCCACCCCAGCGCCGACGCGGTCATCGAGCATTACCTCTCCGGCGGCGGCGGCGGCGCGGGGCTTCACGGCCGGGACGACGATCCGGTCGTGAAGCGGAGCGAGCAGCTCTACCAGCAGGCGTGGCGGCAGTTGGAGAAGGAGAAGGAGAAGGGGGCGGTGGAGGAGCGGAAATGGGAGGGCGGCGGCGGGGCCCACTGGTGGGACATGCCGATTGACGGCATGGACGTGAAGGAACTGGAGGAGTACACTGCGGCGCTGGAGGAACTGAAGAAGAAGGTGGCGCTTAGGGTTGGTGAGTTGGAGACGGCGGCGATGATGACTAAGAAGGCCTCCGCCGCCGCGTTCTGCTGCGGGAGTAGCTCACCGCCTCCTCTATTGGAGTATCATGACTATCATCAGGCCGGTTAATTTTTTTGATTAGCATCACTCAATCATTTTTGCTTAATTTTTTTGAGTTAGTCTGTTAATCATCACTTGTTTTCTCAAAATTGCATCAAATAATTAATTACTTTGTCTTCCATTGATTTGTCTTCTTTAGACTGTGAAACTCTTTAATCAAGTTAAATGAGTCATACATAATTTTATTATTACAAATAGAATCATGAATTTGAGTACTTGAGAGAGAATAAGTTAGCACAAACGATGTATATTAGTATAAAAATTAAAAATTATATTTATCTTATATTAAAATTTTGATTTCATTGCTTTAATATGCAATGTAAATGTAGAGTAATTGATGATTAAAATTTATGAAGTTTGGTTTGAAAAATTCAAAGTGACAAATACATTGGAAGGAAGGGAAAATTTGGGCTGCTCCTCTATTTCACACTACATATATATAGCTATGGTTCAACGATAAACTTTCTTAAATTAAAGATAGTTCTTGATCTGGTTTTTTGGGTGTGAATTTTGTATTCATGGCATGGAAATTAATGGTGTATGGATATTATGTTCACTTTATTTTAAGGCTAAAGTAAAGGAGAAAATGAAGGTGCAAGGGAAACATTATATTGGTATTCCAAAGAGATTTTAATTTGGGTTATTGATATTTGCACTCCAACAATTACTAATGGCACTCTACCTTTCTCCAAACCAACTAAAGTGACAATCAAATCCTTGGCATTATTAATTCCACCAATTTTTTTCTTCATTTTCTATTTTTCTCTTCTTTAATGTTTTTAATTACTTTTCTTTAATCTTTTGATTGCTTTTTATTTTTTAAAAATACTCCCTCAGCCCCAAAAAAATTTCAGCTTATGGTTTATACTCTCTCCGTTTTCAAAAGCACTTTCTCTTTCATTTTTTCCACTTCCAACAAAACACTTTCACTTTCTATTAAAAAACCAATTTTACCCTTATTTTTTCATACCCTACCTATCACATCATACTTTTTTTCTAATAATCTATCCATCATATCTTACTTTTACTCATCACATCAAGGGCAAAATTGGAAGTCAACTATAATTTAACACTTTCTTATTTTTATACTTAGTCAAAATAGGAATTCTTTTTGAGAACTGAGAGAGTAGTATGTTGGTCAAAGTTATTACTAATTTGCTAAATTTGAGTATATATTTAAAAATAAAAATAAAATTTAAATATTTAAAATTGCAGAAAAGCTTAATAGAATAAAAATGTGAAATTAATTTTTGTAATGTAAAAAAGAAATGCGTTGACAATATTGCTCGCCTAGAGAATGCGACGTCAATGATAAAAATATCACGTAACTGATAATGAAATCAAAATCATGTCATTGACTTCACCCAACAATATTTAATTGAAAAAAAATACCAAAATAGGGTAAAACATGAAAAAATTCCAAAAAAAAAAAATTCTATAGTTTTTATCTTCAAAATATGAGTTACAATACCAATAGTGTCAACATATAATACCAAAAAATTGTGAAATACCAATATACAGTGCCACAATATCACCTAGCAAACCCTTATTTTGAAGATAAAACATAGAACTCTTATTCTAAGAATTATAGTTTTGTTATACTCCTATTTGGAGTGATTTCTTATACTTTTTTAGAAAGATTTTTTGTGATGTTATCTAATAGTAGACATTACAAAAAGTTACATCACATTTTTTCTATAGATTTTTTTATGTTTTAGATATGTCAATTTTTTTGTAAATGTTACGTCGTTATTCAAATTAAGTTAATGGAAAGTAACTTCAATAAAAGACATGAGAGTTTTTCTTAAGAACCAAAATTTATCAAAAACCTAACAATAAATAACTATTAAAAAAAAGAATAGAAAAGTTAAAAAGCAAGAAAACAGCAAGATAATTCTTTAATATAAAATTTGAGAGTTTAGCTTCTCAGAAGCTGCCATTTGGCATTCTTTAAGGCATAATTTCTTGACACGTAATATGACACGCGTCTCCTATACGAATGACTTACCAAGGGCTGAGAATTTGCGGTCTCTACTCTGCCAAAGGAAAGAATCGAAGTGCCCATAATTTACGGTCTCTGCTTCGCTAAAGCCAAAGGAAAGTATGAAAGATTTTAACGATCTCTACAATTAGATGTTGATTCGGCCAATCTTCTTCAGATCCATGATGGGGTTTGGGTAAATGGGTTCTGTGTATTGCAGCGAAAGCTGTGGCCTTTCAGTGGCAATCTCTCTGGCTGACATGCATGAATGTGGAGCAACAAGAGTTTCCATCAACGCCGGAGCGATACCGGAAAAGAACATCGGGTTGAAAACAGTGAAGATTTCGCCCGGCTTCAGGATCAACCCAGATCTGCATTTTGGTTATTCATGTAATTTTTTTCTGGTTATGTTATGTTCTGACTTCTTTCTGTCAATTTGGATGCCCATAACATGCTTGATGTAATGCCTGACAAGCTGAAACCTTTTTTTAATGTGTCTGGTACTTTGAGACAATTAGGGAGGAGTTTTGCCAAGACATGCCATGATGGAGATGAAATTGATGTTGATAGGAGAGGGTTTGAGACCTCGAGAAACATGTCTAAAATGGTAGTCTTCATGTTGTGTTTTTGTGCTTTCAAGTATAACCAAATAATGTCTAATGTAGTTTTTATTGTTTACGGAGTAGTATTGTTTTGTCATTACGGGCAAGCTGATTCGGCCAATCTTCTTCAGATCCATGGTCTGTGTCCAAGATTCCGCCACTCTCTGCAATTCGGTTCTTCACCTACTCATTCACAGAATAAGGAAGCTATCCAAAATTGCACACCTCTTCTACGCCAATTACCCATCTCTTCTTCGCCAAATGAAAGAATCGGCATTGCACCGATCTATCTTTATCTCTTCGTCACCAAGGAGTTCTACACCGAATGAAAGTTTGGAATGTTCAAGATTGCAATAATGCTTTATTCGATTGAAATTATTCAACGGTGCAAGAATCCCCGAAAATTTACATATTAAATTTTTTTATTCTATTTTTAAAATACAGGAGTTAAAATGGTAAATTTGAATGTAATTGGAGTCAATGAAGGGGATATCAGTTGATAGAAACGTTTCTTTCTGCGATGCCAGAGCACGGGTAGAGCCAAGATAGATTCGTTTCCTTCTTAAACATACGGTAAGTTTCCATCTTAAATTGATATTTAATTGAGGAGATTGATATTAAATTTACAAAAATTCTATTCCTTTTCATTCTTTATTTTGATCTCCATACATAACACGAGAAGTATTCAGTCATTACTATCTTGAATGGTTTCATATCTTCTATACAAACTTTTGCTATTCAGGGATGCAACATATATGAAGCAAAAAGCTATAGTTATAGGTGGGACCATTGTCAGTGTTTTCAGATTTCACCCCAAATTTGGTGAAGCAGTATATGAGTAAGTGTTTTTTAAATTTGTTGTGAGTATTTGAATTTTCGGGTATGGTTTCAGTCACAGATAATACTACTCTTTTCTCAACAGCTGCATCCAAAGTTTACTTGGACATTTTCATTGATAAAGTTGCTACCGTGATAAGCAAGGGGAGGTATATACTGAGCATTATATAAGATATATATTATGTCTTCTGATATTTTGGACTATTAGTTTTTTGTTGTTATGATGAGTTTTGTTGAAGACCACAGGGTCGAGTCTTCATCGGAACATCATTGCTAAATAGAATTTCAATCTGTATTTTTTTAGTTGTTGATTAATAAACAATTTACGTGGGTGTGTTTCAGTGTGTACTAGGGCTTGATTCTATGGGGCTTTGGATGAAAATCTAATCTTCATTAAAGTTATGTGCTCTTGAAAAGGTATCATTATTGTCATTCATTAACGACAAAGTAACGACAAAGTAGTTAATAAAAGACACCATTGACGTCAATGGCATAGACAATCCAATAATATCACTCCCTATATATTCACAAATCACAAGTATAGTCTCTTATGAGATGATTTTGCAATTGTAGATGACTAGATTCTATGGCTCTGCTTTTTTGTCTTGCTTCACCTCTGCGTTTATCTACTCTAAAGTGGTCCTGTTAGGTGTTTCTTTTCTTGAGCGTGAACGAAGGTATGTTACGTTGGTTGGGCATAATGGTTAAAGGGATATTGGTTACTTTATTGCTCGTGAGAATGACTTTTATTGAAGTTAAATGCCTAGAAGAATATGATTGTCATCACTGGAAGTTACGATTCCCATAACTTTGCACCAAGGTTATCATTTGAGACTTAATTCTCCTATAAAAATTGAACAAATAGGTGGTCAATCTGTGATCACAATAAGTGCTTATGTGCTTCATCCATTTAGACACTATATTTGATACTCTTTTTATTGCATTTCTTCTTAAATTCTAGACTTTATTCACTTTAATACATGAATATTGTTTTAAAAATTAATTCCCACCCCCTCGAGACAAATATAAGAATTATCATTATGGATCAATATTTAATAAAACACCTTGGTTCCCAATGTCATGGGAACCGGCCTCTTAATAAAATTAATATTTTGTGGCAGGACTTGATTGCAGGTTTTATCGATGTTGAAGACAACCGAATGTCGCGACTTGGAGATAGTATATTCAGTTTCACGCCAATGAAAAGAACACATGAAGAAGAACCCGATCTTGAAGATGGATACAAGTCGGTTACTTAGTTGAAGAGTGTCAAGATCGAAGAAAAATAATATTATATTTGATTTGTTGATGACTTTTGTTTTATGGTTTGACTTACATGGTTACACTACACCATCTAAAAGTATGTAGATGAACTTATGGTTTAGTCTACAAATACTTTATTGCTTTTACAAATACTCTATTTTTTTAACCTAAAAGTTTAAACATATGTCTTGGTTCAAATGTCTTGGTCAGTGATAAATTAAAAATTCAATAAATTTTAATAAAATGGTAATGGTCTTTTGTCGCATATTGCGTTTATAATAGAGCTTTTATTTATAGTTTTTTTGTGTTGGGTCATACTTGCATATAGGAAAATAATATAACTAGAAAATGTAGTATAAAATATTATTTGTGGGCACAAAAAGTGCACTTGTCCTCATAGTATAAATTTATGATCATACCTCAAGGAAAGAAAATTGCAGTCTATTTCTAAGCAGATTTATAATAATACTACTTTAATGAAGGATGTAAGTTTTCTTTAACAAATAATTTGTTACCAATATATAATATAATTTTTTTAACTGATGATCAAATTTTGTTCAATTTAACTAAAAAAGGATAAACTGGGCAAATATTTTAGGACAAGGGTAATAAGTAAATAAAATTAAAATAGGGGTTGAAAAAATATCATATAAAAATTGATCTCACCTACCAAAATCATGATCAACTTTATGTTATTTCACAAGTGAAGACAAAGATAAGATTAAGACTATTATTTATAGATGATAATGAAAATCCTTGCAACCATCACAAAACATTATATACCTTGAAGTCTTCCAAAAAGTTTGAAATTAAAAAGACTTTGTCGATTACACTTTCAATCTCTCAAATATTATTTATTCTACTTTGACTTTTGTGTCCATAGTATTAGAAATCATACTACAAATATATTTTATTTATTCCTTAAAAATATTACATTAAAAAAAATTAATTTCAAAATTTTTTTGTTCTGCACCTGCCACGCACGAGTCAAAGTACTAGTAAAAAAGAAAAAGGATGACAATGAGTAATTAAAGAAGGCTAAAAGGACATACTTGTCATTTTAGAGATTTTTTAGAAATAGTTCGAGTGCTATTAACAAGTGTTGGAGTGCAAATAACAATGGCCTTTAATTTGGCTAATGGTTAATACATACTCCATATAAAGTTAATATTTTGGCGTAAATTGGGGTGAGTATTTCAAAATGATTTTTAGTGATTAAATTATAAGGAAAAATGCTAGGGGTACACCATATTTGGTGTATCCCATTTGTCCCACACCCCCTCAATTACCACATAAATGGGCAAGAATTTTAAAAAAAAATTAAATAAATAAAAAGTAGATCAAAATGGGTGGTTGAGAAGGGGGTGGAGGACAAATGGGGTGTACCTGTAGCATTGCTCAAATATAAATAAGGTAATGATTTTTAATACTCGTAACAACTACGAGTAAATAATACGGAGTACCTCGTAATCATCTAATTTATAAATAAAAAGATTTTATTAGAATTAAACAAAATAATGTTTATTTAAGGTAACATTTAATACATGAGGTATCTTGAAGTAAATTTTTTTATGTTTGATTAGTCAAAGTAACAAAACTTTGAACCTTACGGCCAAATAAACTTTATGGACAAAATGTATCATCGTAGTACATTACCATGAATTTTAGAACTACCAGAGTATATTTCTGATAATGTAAAATTAGAGAGTTCTTATTAAAAAAATTGAAGATAACTCAAAACTAATTTTCTTCATTTTTTAAATGAAGATTAGATAGCTAAAGTTTTAAACGAGGCCACGAGGAGAGCCTATATTGTACATCAACTAGAGCTACGTAAATCTAGCAAACATTCATTTCAAACCAACGTAAGTTTATTCTGAAGCAATGTAATGTTCATTCCAAACATGCTCAGTATAGTTTATTCAGAACATGTTTGGGAATGACGTTAGCGATTAGCGTTAGCGTTTTGAAAAGGCTATCTACGGGCAGCGTTTAGCGTTAGCGTTTTCAAAGTAATCTGCACCATTAAAATTTTATCCAAAACGCTAACGCTAATTTCTTACGTTATTCCCAAACAGGCCCTCATTCTAAAATAACATATTATTCATTCTGAAACCACATAAATTCATTCTAAAACATTTTTTAATTACAAATTTACCATGATTTACAGTGCATCTGGTTTATCTTGTTGTAGGGGTGAGCATGGTACGGTATTTAGCTCGTACCGATACCGTACCAAATATTTCGGTTCGGTATGGGATTTTACTCGTACCGATCCTGATCCCGAAATATCGATTCGGTATAGTTCGGGATGGTTCGGTATCGGTTTCGGTACAAATCGGGATGAATATACATACCTACTTTACACCTTAAAATTTAACAATGCCCTTTTATTTTTGAAAATTAAAAGTGAATTTAAATTAAAAAAAACATGAACAATTAAAAAAATCAATATTTAAATGAAAGAGATGCGTATCAAAATTTAGTTTATATTTCACAAACTAAAAAATGAATGAAAACAAAGGAGTATTTCGAATTTTGGTGAATACTTTTATGTTCATACACAAAAACTAAAATGCAAATAAAAGTATAATTTACACATTATAGAACTTGAACAAATTTTTTTTTAGTAAAATTATTATTTAGTGAAGGAATATAAAAATATTACTCCAGGGTATTATTTTATAATATTTTAGTATATATATGTTCGGTTCGGGATTTTCGGTATGAGACGTCACCTCATACCGTTCCCAAATACCGTACCGACCATTCGGTTCGGTATGGTTCGGTTTCTTCTCGGTACTTTTTCGATTCGGTATTTTTCAGTTCAGTATTCTCAGTTTTTTCGGGAAATTTCGGTATCGGTTCTGTACTTGCACCCCTATCTTTTGTACTGGTGCCCCATTTCCTTCTTTCAGATTTTTAGGCCCTGGTTCCACCATCTAGTTCCTTCTCGTTCCTGTTCGGTTGCAGCTCCTGTGGGCGCTTCCGATTTCGTTGCAGATCCGCTCGTCGCTGCTCCACGTAGACGCCGCCCTCCACCGCCCGACGTCTGTGAGTCTATTTTCCACTGTCCGTTTTATATTCGGAGTGTAATATACGGAGTATAACAGTATGAAATTGATGAAAGTTTTTTCTATGGGTTTCCCATCCTAGATTGGTTTTCATTTTCGCAGAAGCTAAAATTTATGGATTTTCCAACAAATGTAATGCGATCTATGGATCAAACATTAAAAAGTTAACCAAATTTGTACAAGTTAGGCTTTCAGATTCCGTTGGCTCAAATGCTCTCAATTATCTGAAGATTGTGGACACTTTTCACTAGATGTCTATGCGATTTTGAAAGATAGTGTTGATTTATTTATGGTTCCATGGTGGTAGATTGTATAGTGCTTCTATTTCTGTCAGTAAAACATGAAATTTTATCAATGAAAGGCAAAAGAAATGACATTTTTATGGTAACACAGTAAATTTGGTGGCACAGAAATCAGATTCTACTCCCTCCCTCCCAAATTTAGGTTTCCATTTTGTTTTAAGATGCTTGACTAAAGTTATTTTCAATTGAACTTATATGAAAATTGGTGTAAAATTAAAGAATAAAATTTACAGAGATCTCCATATAAAACAAGAGGCGACTTAACAGTTTATTTATCAATGAACAATGAAAATATGTAAAGGAAGATAAAGTTTGACTATGTGAATAGTGTACAGAAAACCTTATCTTTGGGTGGAGGGAGTACTGAGTATAATAACACAATAAACTCTAAAACTCACAACATTAAGGGCAAGCATGTCTTTATAAGTAACAAAAAATGTTTCACACACATTCAAATTCATTTTTATTACTTACAAGTACTAGTATTAGTTTACTTGGAATATAAGAGTTCCTCTAGGAATTCCATATAAATTCAATTTTACTTGGAATTCAATTTAATTATCACCCTATATTTGTTTCCCAACGACCTGTAAGCTCTGGGAAATGGCTAGCCTCCTACAACGAGTAGCGAGGCATTCATGTCACAACTATCAGCTCAACCAGGCTTCACTCTCGATGGCGTTCTCTTCATCCGCCAACTCACTAGTAGAGATCCAACGTGGAGAGGTTGGGATGGTTTCTGGTATACCCCAAGAACATCTTCGCAGGAGGGTATGGAAATCCCTTTTATTTTGCTTTGCATGCTTATATAGCTATTTGAATCTTATTTGAAACGAATATCTGGTCTGGTAGGTTTCGTTGTTGAATGTATATTTTTAGTTGATTCAATCAAGGGCTTTTCTCGTGCATATTTGCTTCAACTGTTTGCAGTTTTGTTCTACTACTAGACTAGAGTTGTTCTTAACTGATTATTGACTCACATCTCATTAAGTGAAAATTAAAGTATTAGTTCGCAAGTTGTGAGTTTTACCAAATCTGACTAGATGATCTGGGTAAATTACATTTTTAACTTAAAACCTAATATGGAGTATGATTTTCTTTTTTAGCTAATTTATTTTGAACTCTTCCTGCATACCTCTACCTCCATATTAGTATCTTGCCATACAATACAATGCTAATGATGCTAGGAAATGAAATTGTATAGTTCACTGCTTTTGACAGTTCTTTTCAAAAAAAAACAGAACAAAAAATGTTCATTGAAAACAAAAATGTCATCATTTTATCGTATTTATCAGGTTGTTATTTTCTCACCTGCCCGGACTGCTACTCAACAAGGATCGGGTAAAGTTGGAAAATGGAAAATCAACTTTTTATCAGTTCAAAAGTATGATTCATTTTTACTCAAAACCACTATACATTCTAAGAGCTGTAAAACACAAGTATGAAAAATTTATATTGCTAAGATACATGTAGATGGGAAAATCCATTGATGGGCTGGACTTCCACCGGTGACCCATATGCCAATGTTGGAGATGCTGGACTGAACTTTGAGAGTGAAGAAGCTGCAAAAGCTTTTGCCGAAAGACATGGATGGGAGTGCACGGTACTGAATGCAGTTTTTCTGGTCATCCGTTAATATGCTGTGTTTTAATGCTTTTTAAGTAACTTCATTATGCATGCTGAAAAAGCTATAAAAAAGATGGTATTTAAAATTGGTCTGACCTCACCATGAAAGCTTTTTATAAATTGACAACTATCTTCACAAGATATTCAGTTAGACTTACATATTTGTCAATTTTTTTTGCGACTGCTATGCTCTATGGATATAATGACCACATACGAGCATATATTTGTAGGACAACTATTTTTGGGACCACGAACTTGCTCTTATTACTAATCTAAACCTTCAAACTATATGCTTAGTGTAATATATGCTTATATGTGTGGTATCAATCTATCACCAGTTTCCCTTTTGTGCCATGAGATATTTCGCCCTTTCTTCGATAAGCTGTTAAGTTTTGGAACATTATATAATGAATCTGTTTTGGTGTGAGTTAAGAAAACATACACTTCGTCTTCTCGGGACTTGTCAGCTCTTGTTGAATATAAGTCTTATAACAACAGACCTATTTTTATCATTGCAGGTGAAGAAACGCCACACACCGTTGTTAAAGGTAAGAAAAGTTTACCATTCATCTCGAGATGCATTGTTGCACACTTGCACGTAGTTTTTATCCTCCCTCTCGTCTAACAGTTGCTTTTTATTCACTGCAGTGTAAATCCTATGCCGATAATTTCAAGTGGAAAGGCCCTCCCAAGGCAGAGGTTTGAATCAGCCTTTTCCGTTCACTGATGCACTGCTGAAGTCACTGGCACAAGTTGATTCGTGTTGCTTTGACTTTTGGGTGTTTTGTGTTTTCTTTTTATCGTTACGAAAGCTTCGTGGAAGTAATGAATATAACTCGCCCACCCCAAGTTGTTGTATTAATAAATCTAACTTACCAAAACCTTGTATTTGGACGTCTTGCATTGTGAATCAATCCTTTGGTTTGTCTACACAAAGCTTCAATTAAAACAACATTTAACGATTTAAGGCCTTGTTTGCAATCACTTGGGCGGTTTTCTATGGTTTACAGTTTACAATACGGAGGACTCCGTATTATTTTGTTTTCAAAGCAAACCGGTGTTTATCTTACCTATCTACTCCGGGTATTTCTCAATTTATATGTTCGGCTTGATTTTTTTCGTGTAAGTCGAATAAATTTAGATCATTCATTCATTAAACACCATACAACATTTCAATAAGAAAGAGGGTTTCAATTTGATAGAAAAAGATAAATTAGACAAGTATATTACTCCGTTTAAGTATAACAAAAATGGTACCTTCAATGGTTCCATGCTATAGCCCATATATGATTACTTTCTTTGTCCCATAAATATGTTATTGTTTTGATTTGATTCAGTTTTTTGACCTAGTGCATAAATATACTGTTAAAGACAATACAGTTGTGCTGGAATAAGAAGTAGACTGCAACTATGTTTACAACAAAACTGAGAAAAAAAATGCCAATTTGAAATAAAAGAGTCAAAACCAATGGTACCATCTCCGCTGCCTATCAGCTGTGGACTTTTTTTTGGGTGCCAAAGTAATCCGATCGGCATGAGAGACAGCCCATCTACCATACTCTGGGGAACTAACAAGCTCTTCCAATGCCTTCTTTGTTACCCGTTGCGTGAGATTTTCCCACTCCTCCTTGGAGACTTTCCTCCCCTCAGGAGTCGTGTGGAATGAAGAATAGAATGTGTCTGATTCTGAGAGAGGCCTCCTTGGCGACCTGCTGCTTGAACCACCTGTTTGATCCGCGTAACATTGGGTTGGTCACAAAATGGATGATGTTATTTGAATGTTTTCTTTTAGAAATAAAGCCAAACAGACCCTTAGTCCTTGTCCAATTAGCTGAAAAGATACAGTACATAGTTTTTGTGACAAATGAAATGCAAGCAAAAAACCTTGGAATGCAGCACTTCCTCGACGTCTGTCAGGAGTCCTGGAATGATATGGCTCGTTGTGTGGTTGAGCAGACAGATCACAAAGTATTCCACAAATGTTCGTGATCATTCTATATGATTTCCTACACGTGTTTCAAAAGAAGTTTAAAAAAAAACATGCCAAGGAACAAGAAATAGAAGAAAAGAAATCACACAAAGGGTGAGAGGTGATCTTTTGCACCGAGCAACTCACTTGTATATCATGCGCACAAATTTGGGATGGAGAGTTTTTCTCATTACTGATGAAACAAGAATTCCACATGCCAATGCCTCAGCCGCCAATAAAGCATCTGAAGTACTCTGAACCCTCCCAAAAAAATGCCATTTACAGTTAAAAACTTACCTCAAAACTTTGTAGGATGACACGGAAAATTATAATAAATTGAAACCTGAAGAATCATAGCAGAGGCCACAATCCGTATCGACCAAGCAATAAAATGAGACACTCCAATATCAATTGATCCATCATCATTGAGTACAAGTTTCCGAACCACCCAAAATCCCAACCAAGCTCCAGCAATTGCAAGGAAAAGGAGCAGAATTATGGCTAACTGAGATTCGAATGCGCCCATTGGGTAAACAATGCCACGTTACTGAAAGAAAAAAAACTTCGAACTGGGAGCGATCAACTAAAATCAGAAAACTTACATACAGGGTTGTACATGTCTTCACCAATACCAATCTCTGCAAGAGCCATTCGCAATAGTCTAGGCACATAGCGAAGTAAGAAGGAGCCCAAACCGATCTGAATGGAGAAAAAAACTCAGATTGCAGCATAATTTGGGGATATAACATCAGTTGGGAAGACAATAACTTAATAGGTCTATTGTAAATAAACGCGGAGTAAGTAAATAAAAGATACCCACAAAGGATGAGTAAATGAATATTGCTAATGAATTCTTTCTACCAGTTGGAAGAAGCTTCATCCCCTGCATTACATTTGACAAGTTTATCATCAGGAAAAATAACTAATTTTCAATCACTCATTGATGCTCCCTACATTCCATTCCAATATAAAATTCATTGTTTCCTTTTTTGTTTCTCACAATAAAATCCACTGTTCTTTTTTGGAATGAAATCTGGGGTTGACATTTTTTTCTACAACAACAAATCTAATGAAAAACCTCACAAGTGAGGCCTAGAGAAGGCAGGATGTATGCAGACCTTACATTACCCGGTGGCGGGGCGACGGGGGGGATGTTTTCTACTCAAATGGATATAAAAGATGTAGGATGGCAAGAAAAGAAACTAAAATAAAAGAGAATAAAAAAAATAAGAGAACTCCACAAAATGATGGTTTCTATCTTTTTGAATAAATCTCTATTCACAAAATTCCACTTTTCTAACAAGTGTTTCACTTCCCGCCTAAGTTGCACGGAGTCGGAGACATGCTCCGGTAATCAAACGAGGACAGAGGAAGGAACAAGAAAACAACACATTTTCATACTTTTACAAATGATTTGGATGTCGAGATGTCCCCAAGTACCCAACCCAGGATGTTTTGGGAACAAGAAGCAGGACTTGTCTAAACTATTCGTGCAACTCCCCCCCCCCCCACCGCCGCCCACATGAACACACACACACACTGAAATGTATATTTGGATGGAGGGAACATATTTTTATTTGCATCACAAAAAGTATTAAGTTGGGGAATCTCAAAATTTTTATTGGACTATAAAATCAATTTAAATTGCCTTCTCTGCACAAAGATACTAAAATAAAGCATGTAAAGATTATAGAGCTGAAAGTTAATCTGGTACCTGGAATAGGACCATTAATATCACAAGGAAAATTCCAACTACCATTGCACCACCATAGTAGAACACTAGAGACTTGCTGAGAGAGGATGCAACTGCCATTAACAGTACTCCCAGTACCAAAAACACAATCCGATACGGAACAAATTCTGTAATAGAGATATTGAAATTAAAGAGAGTTACAATGTGACACAAATGAGGAGACCAATTATACAATGAAAGACAAACCTTCATGTAGGGAAACCAGAAGTGTGTGTTTAGAAGAGCCCAGGACCCGGAAATCCAAAAACTTGTGATCAAAAAGTGACACTGATCTAATCAATGACCCCTTCGTTAGCCGAACCCATTGTCCTTGAGGGCACATCCCTATACCAAGGGATTGGTTCCTGCAATGTAGCAAGCACCAGTTCATTTTTCTACACTCCTTCATTTAAGGATGTTTATCTTTGAACATGAAATCGGGCGTGTACATATTGGTTTGTAGTCCATTGATCATCATAGCTAACAAAAAGTTTAACGGACTTACAGTTTGAGCACCAAAAAACTCGTGGTCTTGCATCTAGAATCTAACTGAATCTTAAGTTGCATTGCAATTGGATAAATTATGAGTGTATGCTTTGGAAACAGATACCAACAAATCATTTAGCAGCAAATGTTAGCTTTAAATTTTGAGAAAAATCACTCGAATAATACTCCGTATTATACGAAAAAAGCTCAAAGCCTTTAGCTTTTGCTTTTCAAGTGTTCACGAGCATTCTTCCTTCCGATTATAGCCCCTTATTTTCAAACTCCTATTTTGATAGTGTCTGATTCACTTATAAAAAGTACACCCCATAATGAACATAAAATTATAATAGTCTTAGTATAACTACCTATGATAAAAAAAAGTTATTTGGTAGTGCACATATGTTCTTCATTAGAAAAAAGATAACCAAGTGACAAATTGTTCTCAACAAGCTCACCTATGGAAACAGACCTCGACATTAGGTTGACGGCCACCTTGACTAACATATGAAATGTTGACTGTCACAGAATTGGCATATTTGTCAAGATTCCCGAGCCTTGGCAAGCCCCGAATTTGTACTCTGTCGCAGAGCACTTTCGTTCCAGGCTTAGTACCAGGAGAATTTTCCACCGGCAAAGCAGGAGAAAGCTGAAAACTGATCGACAGTGACGAAGCTGCAAGAAACATGGTAGCATAAACCTTAATAAGAGACAATAATGTGCCAGATCATATGTTGATAACCTATATGAAGAAACTATGATCCAGAAAAGAGGGGGAAAGCAATGGAAAAGATTCATAAACACACAATTGTGGAAAAGAATAAACCCTAGAAATGATTCTTTACCTAAGGAAAGTTCATTGCTGGAGACGACAAGTGGCGAAGTTAAGATGGAGACTGCATAAAAGATGGTCGAGAACAGTAGAGCCGGCGAAGTAGCAGCGCCGGCGGCCATGTTTCTGCTATTAGAGTCGGAAGGATGAAATTGAACTGAATAAGACCGGGGGAGAGTACACAAATTATACACTTCACACTTTTTCCTTAAACTCTTGGGAATTTCTGTGGCAAAAAATTGCTGTTCCGTACCTCTAATTTTGTACTAAGAACTCGCAGGTCCTATTGTTTTTTAAAATATACTCTGAGGTATCTTAAAATATTCGAAAACTGACTCTGGGTTGACAATCCGTCATTCTCTCCGTTAATATTCCTTCTCCGTTAATATTCCTTCTCCAGTAACCTCCATTCCTCCCCCCACCCCCGTTTTTTTTCTTCTTTTACCTTTTGTTTTGTTTTTTTTCTTCTTCTATTATAATTATTATTATTTGTTATTAATTATTATAATTACTTCATAATTATTATTTTCTCATTCTATTATTATTATTTTAATTTATTATTATTACTATTATTATTAAAATTTAATTGTTAGTTTTACCACTCTTTTCTATAAAAACACTAATTGTTATTTAGAAAAATAGCACTTATTATAAAATAACACTTATTATTAATAATATTATTTATTTTAAGCAATTAATAAGTAATTTTACTTCTGTACTTTTTTATAAAAATACCACTAGTTATTATTATTACTTCATATTAATTACTCCTCTGTTCTAGAGTATTTGTCTACTTTTGTTTTTTCAACTAAAATTGATAAAATTTAACCCTAAATTAAAAAAATAATATTAAATATTTATACAAAAATAGTTTTATTAGATTTAATATATAAAATATTTTCAAAATATTACTTTATCGAATTAATAGGAGTACAATATATGTTTTATTTAATTATAGGTCAAAAATTAAAAACAGTTGATTGAAAAAAGTCAAAACCTGACATATGCTCCGAGACAGAGATAATATTATGTATTTCCTATTATTTTCTTAATTATTATTAAAAATTAATTGCAGAGTAGTAATTTTATTACTCTATTTTTAAAAAATACGGAGTAACAATCATTATTATTTAGAAAAATAGTACTCCACATTAGTCATTGATAGTCGCCATTGGTAGTGGTGTCACGGTAAATCGAGAAAACAAGAGGACTTGAGAAAAGAATAAGATGAATAAGTACCTCTGGATTTTTGTAAAGATAATATGAAACAATAAAAATAGTGTTAAATTTAATATTATTATGAATTACGACGTATAATTTATAACCAAGTGAATAAATAATTTTAATTTTATAAATGATACATAAATATATTACTAAAATTAATTTTCAATTAAAGCTTTAGAGTAGTTAATAACTCGGGTTTGGGGTAATATTTTTTATTCTCTTTTTGGCATTTTTAGTATTTTTATTGTTTAATTTTCATTTGTTTAGCTTAGTTTTATTTTAATTCCTATTATTACAAACCTTTTAATTCTATTCAAAAATAGTTGTTTTTAATCATTTTTTAACATGTTATTATTTTAACATTATTATTTTTCCTAACCCAAGTTACCAGATATCCTATTTGTTTTGGAATAAATTGCAGTAAAAGGCCAAATTGAAGCTCAAGTTTGAAAAGAGAAGATTGAGTTTGAACCGGAGCCCAAACCCATCATCAACAACTCAATTAAACAAAGATAAGCCCAAGTCTCCTTCCCCCAAATTCAAACTCACGCAAGAAGAAAAAAAATGCTTCCTGCGATTGAAGCTAGCGCAAGACCAGGAGAGGAGCAGCGACCTATTCAAATCAGCAGTAACGCCTCTCCTTCAACGTTCGGCCATGAATTGCTCTCCAAATCAAGTCAACAACGGCTCCTTGTTCTCTCTCTTCACTCAAAACACTCCAACGGAAAAAATTCCTCCCGTCTATAAATTGGACAAGGAATAGCAGCAGAGGTAGGAGGGAAACGAACGAGAGCTCCAATTTGTCAATTTCTTCATCATCTTCTTCTATAGGTATCCAAATAAATTGGCTTCCGGACTTAATCCGGAAGTCAAACCTTTAATTTATCAATTCTATTGTTGTTTCTTTGTGTTAGTGTTGTTTTTTTCAATATATCATTTTTTTTGTTACTTGTTCATGTAAAAAATCTGAAAAAAATGGTTGGTGTTCTTTTGGGTGTGTGTTCTTGTTTTAAATGTTTATATATAATCCCTTATGAATGAGAATTGATTCTTTCTTATTTACTTCCATTATTGCACAAGTTGTTAAATTGGTTGAATTGTTTCAAATTCATAAGTAGGTTGTTATGTAGAATTTGGTTTTTGTTGAAGCTATTTTAGCTCCATAAGATAGTTAAACAAACTCCGAATTCATACGTGTTTCTTTCTTGTGCTTGTGTTCGTTGATTTTAAGGATTTTGGACTTCTTAGCCCCATAAGTTGATTCATTTTCCTTAGAATTCGTTATAAAGTGATTTTGTTATGTTATGTGTTTGTTTTCTGTTTTCTTTGAATTGAGATTGTTTAAGTGCAATAAACAATTCTCATTTTATTGAAAATACGTTGTGTTCCTCTATGTGAATAGAAAAAACGTCATTGGTTTGAGAAGTTCATGGAAATCTGTGAAATGTGTTCATCATTAGGAGAAAAAGTTTATTAAAATACATAAGGTATTGGCGGTTTGTGAATAGATTATGTATGAGAGTTGAATGCATAATAAATTCTTTCTTTTATAAACTTTTTCTATAGTGGAAATATGTTTTTCATGCTTGAATAGAGAGTTGGGGTTCTAAAGTATATTTCAAAACGGGCTTTTGAATTGCATGACTCCGGGCCGTGTGGAGAGTTGACAATCCTCCATATCGTGGTTAAGGAAATGAATCGACTCGGGGAAACTAACAAAAAGGATAAGAATTCACGCATTCAATGCATTATATAACAGATGCACGGATAATATGCACATTACAAGCTAAACACAAGCAAAAAAAATTAAAACAAAGCCCAAGAACCGCGTGTTTTTCGGGTTACCTCGGTTGAAGAAGTTGATTATCTTTTGAGCTTGTTTTCCCCCATTTTATAAAAAAGAACCGAAAAAATAAGAAAATATAAAAACCAAAAATATTTACTTTTTATTCAACCCCCTCGTGTTTTAAGTTATAAATATAAGTTTTTATACCTTTTTTTTAGTATATCTTAAGTATGTGTTTTATGTTTTTAGTTATATTATAGTTCTTTGTTTATATAAGTTATATTTATAAGTTTTTAAACTTATTTAGTTATAAATTTTATTATAAGTTTTATAAGTATTATCATTTGTGTAGTAGTTTGTTTTTTTTATATTTATTTTTGTGACAATGAGTTTGCATGCTAAATTGGTTTTAAAAAGTACAACATTTCTCCGTGGGATCGACCCTTGCTTGCCCTAGCTATAGTTTTTATTTGATTATATCTTGGGGGTTAGCTAAGGATATTTTATAAATTTTTAATTTGTTTTGGACCGCACGACAAGTCCTCAACAGTAGTAAAACTAATAAAAAAAGTTAGAGTAGTAAAAATACTAATTAAATAAAATAATAATAATAAATAATTATTATAATAATAAAAAATAATAAAATAACAAATAGAAGAAGAAGAAGAAAAAAACAAAACAAAAGGTAAAAGAAAAAAAAACGGGGGTGGGGGGAGGAATGGAGGTCACACTGGAAGGCAGGAGAAAGAAGAAGAAAAGAAGAAAATAAGAAGAAGAAGAAAAGAAGAAGAAGAAGAAACGAAGAAAAGAAGAAAAGAAAAAAAAAAAGAAAAGAAGAAGAAGAAGAAGAAGAAGAGGATAACGGAGAAGGAATATTAACGTAGAGAATGACGGATTGTCACCCCGGAGTCAGTTTTCAAATATCTTAAGGTACCTCGGAGTATATTTTGAAAAACAATGAGACCTGCGAGTTCTTAGTACAAAATAAGGGGTACCCAGCAGCAATTTTTTGATTTCTGTGGTGCCTTAAGAAATGGAGTAATGCTAGAGTCACAAACAAACCGTTCACAAAATTCATAAACTTACCTTTTTAACATTTTCCAAGAAATAAGATGCACTCAAATAATAGAAGATATTTTAATTTAAAATCTAAAAAAAACAAGTTTGTGAAGTTTGTGAACCATATGTTTGTGACTTTAGCATTTTCCTAAAAAATGAGAGGGCATTCATGCCCCTCCACTAAATGAATGCCATGTGGATAAATAAATTGAGCTTTAATAAAATATAGTCCACATCATATTAACTTTCACAAATTGCAAATGACCCCATGTTTTTCCATCTTTTAAACTCATCCCAGATAGCTGTCTTCCGTTTCCGTTAACTTGTTTACGGAGTAATTTTTTTCTGCACCCCTTCCTTGCCGTCACAGTGCATCGCACCAAGAGACTCCAGAACACCGGCCGGATGAAGGTTTTCTTCCTCTACGTCAATCACAAAGTAATAGTCTCCACTCCATTTGTTGATCTTCAATTTTGGCATTCAATTTCCAACCCTAATTAAGATATAGCATATTCTTTCTTTAATTTTTGTTTGGAACAATAGATGGATGTTAATCCACTATCTATGCCTTTAAGAAATCAGCAAGTGGGTGTTTTGTCTGCGATGGCGGCCGGCGTGCTGCGTCTTCCTGGTGCGATGCACTGGGACGGGAGTATATGGACGAAAAAGAAGAGAGAAGAGGAAGAAATTGATCGAAGAAAAAGAAAATAAAAAAACTAACGGGGCTTGCGGAATTGTTACCACACGGCAACGGGAGACAGTGCGTGCAGAGATTGAAGAGTTTAAAATATAGATTTGAAAAAAAGGGTGTATTTTGAAATTTCAAAAAATTATTATGAGGTGGACACTTTTAATAAAACTTATATTCATCAGTCCAAATGGCAGCCATTGAGTGGAAGGGCATGGATGCCCCCTCTTTTCACAAGGCACGGGAGAAACCGCTTAAACTCTTTACCTCCATTAGTCATCACGAATACTACCTATTTTAATTGTTTTTATCTTTTTTACCTATAATTAAACAAAACATATACTTTTAATTGTATTATATATTATTTAAATAATTAATATTTTGAAAATATTTTTGATAAAATTAATCTAATAAACATATTTTTCTTGATATTTGATATCACTTATACTACGTATTTAATTTATGGTGAAAATTTGTAAATTTTAATGCCAAAAGGTCAAAACTAAATAAATAATAAAAAATGTAACAAATATTAACTTCCTTCCCGCTTTAGTTTAGAAAGTATTAATTTTACTTTCAATTTAATTAATTCGATTATACATATAAAATTTAAAAATAAATTTTATATGCTCGAAAACCACATAAATTCTTAAAAATTAGAGTTGACATAATTATATTATTTTATCAAATAAATAATAAAGAATAAATAATTTTATGACGGATGGCTTAAGAACCATGATCCCTCCCT